GATATGCACAACATCTTACGGGTAGATTAGGTTGTTTCAGTGTAGATATAGACATCCTGGTTACAATGCTAAAATTAATCATAATATGTGGACACATTGAGCACAGAATGTTTCTTATCTTTCTCTTAATTTTAAGCTTGATATTATCCACTTTTTATAATATTTAGCTTCCCACTATAATTAATATGATTCCAGCTTACTTGTTTCCGATCATGTTAAGTTGATCGATTTGCTGAATTAGATGTGCCAACTTTAAACAGATAGACTAGTGTTAGGTCCTACATTATCAATACTAAACTGATAGACATCTGACTACCAAAGTAAATCAGTAGTATTGTCAAGGCTTGTTATATATACTCACAATATGATTAGTGTTGGTAATTTAAGAAAATAAACCAATATGATCAACCTTTGGTTTTTATTATCATTATTTTAATATCGAAAGTAACACGTTAGGTAACTTCAGGTACATTTATGTACAGTTAAGAGTTGTGTAATATACAATATCAAAGTGAAATAATCTGTTATTAACGATATCAATACATGTTATTTTATATATACTCGAAAATCTGTACTGATGTAATTCAATGAATAGACGCACTATGAGGATGTGTTCAAGAGCAAGCATTACATACATCATGTATTCCGTGTTGAATGGGTTTGATGTAGTAAAGTTTAAAAACATAGTAGAATTAGACAATAAAAGCTTTGTAACCAAGGTACTTAACATGATCAAAATAATCAGTTTACTAGACAAAAGAGCGATGCTGAGTTATTTATTTAGTGATCCTTAAAATTCAACTGATAGTTTGTACCCATATTATTCGCATCAGTGATTTCCATCAAGCTAACTCTTTGAACAAGTTCCCGTATTTCCGTATATGACAATACAACATTTATGGATGACTTGTTAATATTTAATCTCCGACTCTAATTTTTCCATTATAAATGTCTTGATGCCAAGTTTTGCATCAACAACACACGTAGACAAATAGAGATAATTCAGTTTTGCATAATTATTTTCAGTCCAAAACTGCATGAGTTAAAAACTACAAGCTTGACTAGGATGAATTAACTTCCTATTTTTTTAAGTATTAACTGTAAACATTTTGTATATTACTGACTGATTCTATAGGCTTCAAAGGCTAATCATATTTCTTGTAAGACTAAATTAATTGGACATAATTGTTTGTTTAAAATTAAACAGGTCATTCCAACTAAATGTGTTTTAAATGAGACAATTAAACCGCTTACATTTAAGCGGATTCTGAAGTTAATTATACCAGGAAATTATCAAGACACACCCACTTAATTAACCTATGAGGAGATAAGCTAAGGGCGAGTTTGTGAGCATAAGATGAAGAATTTATACATCAAATGAAAAAATAATCTTTAAAATTCGAATGCCCAATTAAAAATGTGTGCAGAATATAACAGTGAATTCTCAAATGCACTCTTAAAAATAAAGAACAGAATAACTTGGATCTAGTACACAACTCTACTGTATATAATCAAAGAGGGATTTTGTGGATATTACAATAATTTAATAGTTGAATTCATGAGCTAATTGAAGCTAGACCACTATGGATCGTCAACGCGCACTGCTAAAGAGTTTCATACTAGGACAAAACGACCATCCACTGCTTCGAGGTTTTCCATAGTGGTTTAGCTTTAATTGACTCATGAATTCAACGATTAGATTTCTAAAATACTTGCGCTTGCATTTAGAAAAGTCACTAGTCTCAATTCCCTTGGGAATCTTTATTGATTTTCAACTATTACATAAACTAATCCTTTTTACTAAATAATTGTGTTTGGAATGATTATCAATAAATTGGCATATTGATTTTATTTGGATTTCATTGATTAATTTTCAATGAATTTTCATTGATATTGATTTAATTAATATGAGATGTGTCATTTGATTCGAATATTTTTCTAATACACTGTAATTTCGTGTTCAATTAATGATTGCTTATTTAGATAAATTTCATAACTCATATTAATTAAACACTAACAACCTACGAATATTAAGAACAGTAGATATTAGTGTACCCCCAAATGCCCTGGTACGGGCGAGAGTGAAGACAGTCCGCTCTCCCTCTCGAAATGCTCTCACATGGCCACGTGAATACAACCACTGCCAGGAAAGTTCTACTCACTGCCTTCTCGCGACATTACTATTGTTTACGAAATTGAGAGGACGCTTTAACCGAGTTGATGGACGCAAAGAGTCCACCTACGTTAGTTGGAAAACCCTGATTCTAAACCAGTGGTGCACATGAACTTCAATATATCGAGGGAACAAATTGTGTATGAACCAATCGTTGGTCATCGGTTACCATGGGACTGCATCTCCTTACGTTGCTCCATTGTCTTGTGGATCAGACCTTTAGGTCGAAGGCTCCGGATGTGGTCCCCTAATAAAGCCACCCGCTTTGGTTTGGGCACCCAGGCAGTATCATAGCCCTCACACAAATCAAATGAGATTTGGGTGGCGTATATGTATCTGGCTCCCTCCTTGCCAGTATTGGTGTTCAAATAAATAAATAAGATCATAGATGATTCCGAAGCTAATGGGAAAGGTTAAAAATAATTTGGGATAGCCAAAAAAGGGGTAGCATCATTTTGTGAAATTGTTGCCTGTTGGTCTGAGCCAGATAGATAAGTTCAAACGACTTATTTATTTATTTATTTGAACACATAAATATTGGTACAAAAGAGCGCCAATACATATGCGCCACACAAAACAATGAGAATTTGAAGAAAAAGAAAAAAAAGGTAAGGAGCGTAAAAAAAAGAGAATAACGAAGAGGTTGGTGTAAGGTAGTGTAGTAAGAATAATAGTAATAATGAGGGAACGGAAAGGTACAATCAGAAGAAATCTTTCAGTTAAGGAAGACACAACCACTTTTTATGAAGAAAGTAAAAGGTTACAACAGGATCGCCACTGGCTTCTATTCTGAGCAATATCTGATAACGTCTCTAGCCACTGTGTAGCACCATCTCTAGGACCCCAACCAGGGAGTCGTGAAGGGCCAACACAAGCCAGTCCTTTGCAGATTTCTTTCATACCACGACACCATGTCATGCACTGACCACCTCTCCGCTTTTTCCAACCAGTCCCAGAGTCAGCAAATAATGCACGACGTGGAATTCTCTGGGACGACATTCGTAGAACATGTCCAAGCCACCGAAGTCGGTGTTTCAAGATGGTGACATCGATTGGATTATCATCTCTGTGCCCGAACACACGATCCCGAACCTCTGCATTACTAACATGGTGTTGCCGCTGGATGTCAGCAATCCTTCGGAGACAGCGATGATCGAACACAGAAAGTCGTCTAACATCCTCAACTCAACTAAAAGTTGCAGATGTTAGACGATGTGAATTACGATTATTTATAGTGGCGCAGATAGATTCATTCTGCATTTTATCTTAGATCCTGTGTCCTGAAAATCCCCTTTAAGTTGTTGTTCTTTTTTGTACCTAATCTTTTCTAATGTTACTGAGAATTTCACTACTTTTACCATCCCAGAATGTGACCTGATAATTTCACTTCTCTGTGCTAATGTTATGTGGTAACTTGGATTAATAAACACGTACTATGTTCTACACTGCATAAGACTAGCTGAATCATTGAATAATAGAAATATAATTGGATTAGGTTGAATGTAAATCGATTCTAGTCGTTATTAGAAAAAGCGTGTGACATATATGTATTTTGTGCCCTTCTTTACCAATGTTTATATGCTCAAACAAATAAATATTAAGGAAAGCTCCTAGAAAAAGCTGGACATTTTTACTCTAGTTAGCAGCAAGGAGACGATAGAAGCTACCTGGTCCATCGTACTGAAGTTGGAGTTGAAAATAGTTAGCTCGGTGCACAGACGTACTACAATGATTCCATAACTAACTTTTATTATGCGACAATCAACTTAATTTTAATGCATTTTGATTCTGAAACCGTATGTGTACTCTTAATGTGTCTGAAAACCAAGAGATGGTTCAAAATTTTAAAAGTACTTAACTTACGATTACTAAGCCGCAGATCTGAAACTGAATCGACATTTTCTGATCCGAGCAATCAACGAACCTTCATAAAACAGTCTTTAAGAGTTAAATGTGCAAACCAGTATTTGGCTAACGAATGGCACTAAACTTTTAAAAAAAATTTTGTATAAAGTTACGTGCTTTTCTACTGATTTTCTGAATACAGATACATCAACTGTATCTCATAAGACGTAAGAAACGTTTCTTTTGCTTTGACATGATATTAAACACTTGCAGCTAGGGAAATAAAACTGGAGACGGAAGCATACTTAGTTTTAAAATCGAAAGAAGCTTTATTTCTCTAGCAAGATGGTGGAACATCGACAAAACCTATTACTGTATACTATTTATCTTCGAAGAGATAACCTGTTTCTTAAACAAGGGTAGATGAACTTGAGAAACCAATGGTATAAGAGATCAAATACAGGCAGTGTTGATGATTTCTCGGTCAGTATGTGGTTTGATTAGTGTAGGTTTAAGTCAAAATGGCGATAAGAATACTTATCTTACGGCGATTTCAAAAAATTAACTAGGCAGCGGAATAGATTATGTAGCAGATTATATCGGACAAAACCCATAAAAAGAGGTCTGAGATCATTTAATCTAAAAAAAAACTGGTCATAAATCAAAGATCCGAAATGGTTTCTCGAAATACATTAATTACAATTTTCGGATGTCTAAAATCTATTGATTATCATTTACTAAAATATGAGTATATTCACTTATTGAAGTAAAATGTTTGTATAAAAACTGTCTCCTTTCATGACTTCTGAAAACATAAATCTATCGTTTTCTTTACGACTAAATAAACATTACACACTTGTATCTGTCACACTTAAAATAATACTATGACTTTGTCAGTTGACTGTACACTTAAGTAATACAACCACAAAACTACCAATGAAGGGATAATAAATATGGGAATCAATAGATATATTTCTCTTACCATATCATAGACATTCACGGTCACTGGCGTTGGAACGGCATTATTTGTCGAATGAGTTGTAGTACAGTTAGGTGTAGTTGTGTTGGTTTCTGTTTTATGATTCTCTGATGTTGATGTTTGAGTTGATGAAACACGATCTAATTTCATCCGCAATTTCTCCCAGAATCCCATCACTGGATTCATTTTTTCCACTTATTCATCTTTTTGGAAAACTATCCAAACAGTAAAACCTAAAATGATTTCGTATCAACCAATGCATATCACTAAAGAATATTTTCTCCGTAATAAATAATAAATCTGAATGTTCCTGAAGTCCTTACTAATTCTATAGTTCAGTAATCAGAAACTCTGATTAATGTAAAAAAAAAGCAATCTTACTAGAGTCAAACTTGCTACCGATTCTATACACAATTTTATCAGTAGAGATGTGACGAGAACAGATCTTGACAAATATGATAAATGTGCTATTTAACATTTAAAGCATTACAACCTCCTTTCAAAAGCATTATCTGAACGAATGGGTTCATTGGTTCCAATGCACATTATCTAAAACGTAAACTCCGCTAGGCAGAACTAGCGAATTATTTGTTTTTTGAGATCTGCCGCTGGGTAACGAGCGCATTCTTGGCTACAAAAATGTATAATTCTTGCTATATTCTTTCTAGAAACTGAGGGACAAAACAACCCAATTAATAATAGTGATTGAGGAGCAACACTTGAAGTGATTATCCTTAGTATTTATAGGACTAAACTAATCGTCAGTCCTCCATTTGAAAGATTAGGTAGAGAGTGAGATCACTATAGCTTCCATCACTGATCCGAACCGCGAAAATTTAGGATGATAGGTCTATCAAACAAAACTGTCACCAAAGTGGACGGATGGTTGAGATATTTTTGCGATTTTACAAGGCAATTATTCAATTGTGGCCCACTAAGTAGAGAGCAGGCTTATGAGAACCACTGAACCTACTGTGAAAAGGTTTTGTCTTAATGATGGTCCAACTGTCACACGCATATGGCGATGATCTTGACATTAACGTTTTTTCTTCTTTTCATTCGAGAATAATCGTTTGAGAGGATATTCTAAGAAAGTTCAAAAACCGAGGTCAAATAGTTTACACCTAGAGTTCCGTTTCTCGAACTAAATAGTGAACGACCGGAATTCTCTATCAGAACACGTAATATCAGCATCCTCTGTGGACGCGCTCAAAGCAAGGCCTGATCTTGACAGTACTACAGACTGAAAAGATTAATACGGATCCACTGACCTATCCTGACAAGTGGAGATTGAAGTATTAGCTAATTAGCACATATAATTGTCAGAGCAAGACCTGCATGCCCCTTTGATATTCCCAGATAAGCAAAGTTTTCGAACCCAAAACGACTTAGGAAAGATAAACAGAAGGAGATCTCATGCGTGGAAAAAGATCTGCACCATAATAATGAGAAAAGCAACACAAAAAGCTGTAGACGCGGATATACGTCAGTTTCCAGTAGTCTACACAATCTTTAATGTTTACAGTATGTGAGAAACTGCTTTTTGATACCATTTTTACTGATCAGATAGATATAAATAGTAAGGAAAAATGAGAATAACAGGACAATATAAAAGTTATGTGATGCTGACTACGCTCTTTACTAGTTTCAGTGCTACAGGCTTTCAATTGTACACCATCATTTTTGTCATTTTCGGAAAGTATCGTTAATAAACACTTTTTTCTCATTTTATTGTGGAAAATCATAAGATTCTTAATATTAATGTGCACATTGGTATACAAGGAGATATTTTCCAGAGCACTAATTAAGGTAGCTATTTACCAAAACCTGTTTTTCAAGAGTTTCTTTGAGAATTTGAAGTCCACTTACACACTAATTGGCTGCTTCGATGAAGTCGAGATATATTTTATTTACTGAACGGAATCTTGTTCCATCCTCAAGGTCATCGGGGTTTTAAACGTCGCGCAGAATCTGGATTGTTACGGCAACTCAAATCTCTCAAATGGTTGTGGACGGAATAGAACAAGATTTCGCTTAATAGGGACATCCGTGTCTAGTGACAGTGTGTCACCAATACCTCCAGCCAGGAACCTTCGTATATTAACGACAAGAGAGGAAAAGATATTGGTAAATTATAACAATATATTATCATTAAACCTTAAAAATAGGTCAAGTTTCCTCTTAAATATCTCTCGAGAAGTCGCTTGGACTCGTTCGGCCGACATCAAATTCCAGCATTTGACAACTCTTAAGGAGAAGAAGCTGTATCTACAGTCCGTTCTGTTGTGTTGTATCTCCAATTTCTGGGTGTTACCCCTTGGGTTAGTGTTGGAGCTAAGCATAAGTAGGCTTTTAAAGGGATGTCCAGAAATGTAAAGGATAGTGTAAGCTATTAGAAGGTCACCTATAAGACGCCTGTACTTTAATGGGTAATGGTTAAGTGATTGGAGGTGCTCTTCATAAGGTTTGAATTCGAGTCCCCGAACTGATTTCGTGGCTTGCCGTTGGATACGTTCCAGAGTGTTATTATCCTTTTGGAGTGAGGGAGGAAATACTATGTTTCCGTACTCTAAGTGGGAACGAAAATGACTGTTGAAGGGTATGTGGAAAGTTCTTCCGTCAAACTGGCCAAAAATGCGCCTAAACTTTACCAGGGCAAGGTTTGCTAGAAAGGCATTTTTGTCACATGAGACTTAAAAGCGTAGGCTGCCAGCACTCCTATATCTTTTTCAACTTGAATCACTTCTATAGAGAAGTCGCCTAGGTTGTAGCTATAGTCTGCAGCATGATTCGGACTACTTTACACTTTGAAATGTTAAAGGTAAGTTCGTTATCGTCTGCCCAACTTTGAAGTCGAGTCAGACCCTCCTGAAGTGCCAGTATACCCTTTTGGTTGCGTATCTCTCTCCAAAGTTCCACATAATTAGCAAAGAGTAATGTCATACGATACCTTTTATGGAAGACAATCCATAGATCCAGTGATCCGCTTTCAAAGTTAATCAAAGAACTTAAGCAGAGCATTTATAAAATGTGAACAGGCTATCACACATTAAATATGTTTATGACGAGATTGTTTAGACTGAATGATTTCTCTGGCCATTGATCTCGATATTACCGAAGTGCACTATCCTCAACTAATTCGACAGTTGTTTGTGGGACAGCAGTAATAACGTTACCAGGTAGGGAATAGTTCGATTGCATTACGAATATCGTAAAATTCAAGATGTAGGGTAGATTCGAGGGGCTAAATGACAAAGAAAAGTTAGTAATTTAATTAGACAACAAAATAAGTAAACAAATGTGCAAGGACGAAGAAACAACGAAAATTTGAAACTGGTGAAGTGGATAGGACAGATAGATAATGATAATAGTGACAGGGATAAGAATAATATATTATTGCTATGGTGAAGCTAGATAAGTTATAAGACATGCAGCAAGTTTAAGAACAAGTTCCAAATCGTTTTTCTATGTTACAGGATTCAACTAGCAGCTGTTTCACTGGTAAGATGGTGAATAGTGAGTGAGTACCTGATGATGGAGCTATCTTTTAAAAACCCTAACCGATGGGGCGATAGACACGTTAGCAGAGAGAGTAAACAGGATAGGACAGACAGGTGATAAGGAAGAGTTGGAATTCACCCAGGTGGTTGCTCTTGGATGTGTAGCTCATAGCCAGTGACTTCGTGGCGCACAGTGGTAGGTGTCAAGTAAAAGTTTAGTCGGAATGACCTGGGGTGCCCTAATTTGTGTACTTATCAGGTGGCTTGCTTTTCTTATATATTCTAGCTACAATCGTTTCAAGTGTAGTCACTCCTTGCATTATCCATCGCTTGATCTGATCACATGTTTTTGATTGAGATCGTGAACCTATTGATGTCAGACCGCTGTTGGAAACCTGGAAGCACTGGGACTCCTCAGAAGTGCTCTCGGGTTTCAAACCCAGGGCTTTCAATCTCGCGCGTGAACGCTTAACCTAGTGGACCACAAAGCCGGCATGTCAGATTTGATGGAAAACATAAAATATGAGGTGGAGTAATGATATACAGGGAGGTACCTGGGAGTACTCTTGCTCTCAACTTTACAAGCTTTTTAGCGATTCAGTTCATCAAGTTCCGTATTCCCCTGTATGAGTAATTTGGTCGTGTCGTTTACAAGTGAGACAATTTCAGTATATTGTACATACAAGCGTCACCTCAAATGACCACATTTATTCATCTTATAAATAAAATACATATCGTCTATTGAGACCAGTTTGTTCGCAACTATCTGGTTCAGAAACGAGAAATAATGTGTACGTCAATCAGTTCATATAAGCTGCGGTGCATACACTTAATACTGCTTTCAGGTTTAAAGCATTGAAGTCTAGGACTCACTTTTCGTCTTTTCAGAAGCTCACCATATGTAAGCACATGCTTCCAGGGTTGATGTTCATTCTAGGAGGGGTTCATCCAACTGACGAGTCCCAAGTAGGATGAAGTGTTCGTCCTGGATTTCATTAATAGCCATCTCTGATTTAAATGCTCGTGACTTGCCGTAAATATCGAGGTGATCCACAGAGGATGAACATATGTCAAAAACAAACTGATTAGTTGGAGTCGTAAAAATCAATTGAAACATCCAAACAACCAATATACTTGAATTAAAGTGAAAACCAAGAGATTTTCTGCCGCGGTCTTCACTAACAGGAAGACCGATTTCCGTGTCATCTACCAAGTGATTATTTTCATCATAAATTTGACTAGTCAAACCACTTAGATAATATAAGGCGAATCCACTAGACACTGATATAAAGGCCCACATGCTTCTTCTTATATAGCTCATTAAGTTAGGATTAAAGTCGGCAAATTATATGGCACGAACTGGCACAAAAATTATACGATTAGTTTAGTTGCAATCGCAGGTGACTTGTAATGAAGAAGAACACAAGTGGGGACACTCGAACGTATTTTAATACGACATTACAGAATGTCTCAGTAAAATCTGAGAACCATTCAATAAAGACTTCATTTGCAAAATGTTCATTAGTTGTCTCAGACTTAATCGTTCTCGCATTTCCATACAAATTGTTTTCTGTTCTCGTTCTTTCCCTTTCGATCTTCTCGACCTTCTGCTGCCGGACATTTTATTCCTGACCAGTGCTATATACTGCTTATGTCGATATAAGTAGCACACACGGCAGATTAATTGCTACGGTCTATCAAGGATGTCACGTTTTATCTCGGAAGCTACTAATAATGAAAGCACATCACGGCTTGCTTCCACATTCCTTACTGCTTACATCTCACGTAAATAAATTTCCTCATAAAATTAAGTTACCGTTAGAACTTTAAACTGATAATGTCAAAATTCAGAGAATCTAGTGTAGATAATCACACTAAGTTAAGCTTAAGTAATCTGAGTCCTGACTCATAGAGGATCTGTTGAAACTGGTGAGACACGACCTTAAACCGTGACTCGCTTGTGTTTGTTTGTGGCTTATGACTTAAGATGTTAATAAGAGCTTAGATGAACATTTAACGGTTTGAAAACATCTAATGTATCGTCTATTTTTCTTCCAACTATATTAAAATTACTCAGGGGACTCACAGTACTAGGCTCTGTGACTTCTCACATAGAAGTCAACTATTGGAACCAATTTGTTCATAAAGTCAACAAATTTAGTTTGCAGCAGATAAAACACCCATGAAAACTTACTGCAAAATGATTGACACAAACCATCAGCCTTCTATCTTCGGCTTGTAGGCCTTTATCCGAGTGGAACTTTCATCTTACATAGAAATCCGCCCCCGATTGTCCCTTTAAAACAAGACTTCAAGCTTGTAACCTCAGAGAGATTAGTTATCAGTTCAAATCATACAAGGGATGCAGCCAAGGTGAACGTAACTCTCCACTTTCGCGAAGGCGGTCCCAAGAACAGTCAGAATTTATTAGCAGGGATAAGATATCTTCTGGAACGACAACCTCTCACACACTTTCTACCAATTCGATTCTCTGAACAAACTTTGCCCTCTGATTGGTTGTCATGCTTTTTTAGTTTACTAAATCGCTACATGCTCGGTCGTATTTTGCTACTATAGTAACGACTTTTGTACCAATGTCGTTTGAGTTACTTTTCCATCAAGTTACCTGCAATTCTGTCTTCTTGTCTTAGCCGTTGAGGTTTGATATACTGAGTACATTTGACTCTTGTCAATTAAGAAAAGAACCAATCATGTTAGAGAAGCTTAGTCGTTTTCGTTCACAATTCCGTATTATCGGAGGCCGTACTGGACCCTAATAAGATGACACAACAACCTTATGCGAGGACAACGTGGCGTAACCACCCTAGTATTGCTCATTACACTGTTTATAACGCATGTACGGTCAGTACTTGAAGTACATAGTCGTTGCACCCCGTATCTTCAAAAGTGATATAAATCTCTTAGCCTGAGTACAGAGACGGGAAATCGAGTGGACGATGGGCCTAAAGCATAAATCTTACGAGGACAGGCTCTAACACCTGGAATTATTTCTGTCAAGCTACAGTTGAATAAGGTGTGTCGTGATGATGTCGTACAGCTTATTAAGTTCATATAATATTTGAATTATTTGAATTGTAGTATGAACTAGGAATACAAGAAATAACGCAATTAAGAAGTAAGACACAAGCACGAACGAATGTATTGTATTTGGAATTCGAAATCGAGCATTCAACAAGTACAGAGGTATCACTGGTTAATGCAAACACCACGTCCGCCACAGCTTAAATAGGAGTATAAGTGTCTGTAATAGGTTGTACGTCTTCTTCTTAAGTTCATCCTGAGTCTGTCCGACATTGCGTTGGATAACAGCTTTGTAGTATCTAGAATGTGCTCATTGGTATTGGAATTAACAAGCGAAATCGGAACAGACTCACCTGGAATTGTATACAACCAGCATGTCGGTTTTGTACTGAAATCATTAATATCTAAAATTTGAACACTATCCTCCCCCACGAAATAATGTTGGATCTTTATATCCCCAAGTTATGAATAATGTGACTTCATTTAAAACATTTCTCACATTGATTAAAGTAAACATTGGAAGTAAATTTTTGATAAGGATGAACAGTAGTTGATATGAAATCATCCGAATTGTAACCAAAATCGAGATCACTTTGTACTCGTGCTTCGGATTGAACAAGTTTTTCACAAGGATCAAATGCATTATGAGGATAGGTAATATATGATATGACATCAGGATTTGATTCTTCTGAAATATTCTCATGAAATTTATGAAGAATGTCATTGCAGAGTAATGCATCATTAGAAAAATCAGCATCTATCAAAACTACATCAGGTTTTCGACCATAATTATGTTCACTCAACATATTTTCTTAAGATTTGCAAGGAATTTCATCAGAAATATGTGAATCATTAGGAAAAGCTATACTTGGTACAATAGTATGAGAATCCTGGTAAATCGATTGATTAGAAGCTGTTGTCTCGCAAGAATTCTGAGTTTCATTCAACTCTGAACTGCCATATGATTCTACACTGTCTTTTAAAATCGTTGTTAAAGATAAATCATCATTATAAATACTCGATTTAGTAGAATCAGAATCGCAAGACCTAATATTAGTTGCAATAAGATGAACATCAGTAATACAGACTGACTGAACATGTCCAATTTCACCACATTTAAAGTATTTAGAATTACGAAACTTACATGAATTAAAAGAGTGGAACTTGCAACAGGACAAACACTGACCAAACGTGTCCCGATCCCCGTGAACTGCATCCAAACTCAATGAATTATCTGCATAACCTTGAGTACGCACTGGATTGGGATGACGTAGTAATGTATTGGAATTTTTTATATCCTCATGAATCATTTTACGAAATCTCCCTCCTTTACCACATTCGAAATTTGTATAATTAACATAGCCTAGCAGTAGTTCCTTGAGAGTTGTATAAGGAAGCGAGATAGGCTTTTCCGGCATAGCCAGACTTCTTAATAAGCTGTATGCTTCTTTTCCAATGAATGTGAGGAAATGTGCCACAATATTAACATCCTCATCATCTTCCTTGGTCATAGCCCAGATTTCGAACCTTTCAAGTTAATCCTCAAAAGCTTCGGAAGTTGAATGAATATCTAACTTTTTCATCGCAGGCTCCATCGCGACGCCAGTATAATGCTTTGAATTATTTGAATTATAGCACGAACCAAGAGTCCCAGAAATAACGCAATTGAATTAAGAAATAAGACGCAAGCACGAACGAATGTATTGTATTTGGAATTCGAAATCGAGCATTCAGCAAGTACAGAGGTATCATTGGTTAACTCAAACACCACAGTACACCAAACCACCAAAACCTGAGTATATTACTAGAGCACCATCACCATGTAATTAACGCAACTTCTGAATGATTGCACACTTAAGAGCGAAGACCCATTTACTCTATTGATTTTTCTTGCTAGGAGTTGCCCCCATATAGAATGCTTCCCAGCCGAAGTGAGCACAGGCCTGCCAGTGCATAGCTTTAAGAGATTTGACAAACACGTACTCACCGAGAACCACCTTCCGTCTCTTGTACCAGCTGTGTCTGATTCATATCCCATAAGTCACAGTAGCTGTCACTAATGCATAACCAATATCTAGGTCACGCTTCTCTCTACTATGCTCTCCGCTCCGTTGTTGTCCTTCCAATACGTCATCCTATGCATTACTAATCGAGTCAATGGCTTATTTATCCGAGAAACAATCTTCTCTCAGGATTCGAACCATCACTATATCGTTTTTCATACTGCAACCAACCAACATCCTGCCTCATGATGTGGTAGCGACTGGCGTCCAGTTTTAGAGCCAGTGTTATTCCTCTTGTATGTAGACGACCTTCCTCATCTCCTATCATCATCGATTTTGCTATATGCTGACGATGTTAAGATATGGGGAGCGACAAAACGTAAGGGTGATATCTTGAAGCTTGAAAATGACCTGCAGAAATTATTTGCTTAGTCTCAAACTTGGTAGTTGCCAATAAATACTTTCATGTGCATTGTGGTGCATATTGGTCATCAAGGTGCAGATACATACACGATTAATAACATTGAGCTACCTATTGTTCAGACACACAATGACTTATTAATCATCGTTAGTCAAGACTCACAAACTACTGCGTACCGTCGTGCAATAACCGCCAAAGGTTTTAGAACTATATGAATAATACGTGGGGCCTTTAGCCATGTCGATGCTGAATTTTTGTGGCTTTGTGTACAGTATTAAGTCACTCTAAACTAGAGTACTGCATTCAATCAGTTAGCTCTTGCTTAAAAAAGACAGTGAGCTTTCGGAGGAGGCTCAGAGAACAATAACTAAGCTGATCCATAGAATAGAGAAGCTCCCATATGATGCTCGACTCTGTCTTTTGATTTCTCTGGGTGGGAACGAAATATATTAGAAGGTGTTACTGGTAGAAGCGTTGTCAAACACTGAATACCTGTGACATCATCAAACTAAACAATTCCCATTGTCACATTGAAGAACTAGAAGTGACTTAATTACAGTTTTCAAACAACTTAGTGATAACTTTGCATCTGATACGCCCTAAATTTTCCTGTCTTCCGAAACAGAATTTACGAGGACACTCCAAAAAGTTCACAACCACAGAACAAAATGTCAGCTGACTGTCGACTTTCCTATCGATTCATTAACAGGCGTAATTAATCACCTCAACATGTGACTGAAGTTCCATCTGTCGACTCTTTCAAAAGAAAGTTGGGTCAACTGAGAGACCATCATTGCCTAGGCTAACAAAAGCCATTTAGCCAGCTATCCTTTGAAACTGAAACTGGAAGAAGGTTTAAAAATGAGGCTGACCTTGAGCTTGTGGAAACTATTTCCCAGTCGGGTTTATTTAGTGCCAGTGAGTTTCCCCTTGCAATTATCTACACGCACTTTAGATTTGATTTCATATATATACCAATGCGAATAAATTAGTACTTCAATCTTACTATTTTGGGGAAACTTTGGGGAATTTTAGCTAAATTTTGGGGCTTAAGCCCCAAGAAAATTTCCTTAAAGTCGTGAAAAGTTTAGTAGTTTTCCCAAATGTCTCCCCAAAGTTCGGGGAAAAAATCAGTGTTATAAGATTCTGGTGAAGTATTGGATTAAACCCGAAATTTCGGAGGAAATCCGCATTATTTCCCCCGGACAGGCGAAAAAGGCGACATTCTGATGCGTTTTCCCCTTTATTTCCCCTTTCGCTACCAAAGCATTTACCCCTTTGTTTCCCCTTTGTTCGTCTTTATTTTCCCTTTTTGGGTTGTCTGGGTCTACAAACATTTCAGAGATTTCTCCAAAACTTTGGAATATTTTCCCAGATCTAGGGAGATTTTGGGTTTTTGGTGCTATTTCCACCAACTTTTCTATCGCGGCTTCCCTAAGAAAGGTCAAATTTTCCCCGAAATTGGGAGATTGGGCCAACAATAAATTCTTGCTTGAAATATTACAGGCATTCATCTGTTTCAGTTTCCACTAGTATGTATGGGTTACAAATATTTTATACTGGTTTGGATAGTCACAAGTGCCGTCTAGAAGTGTTTCTTTGAGGCCTAAAATGGTCTTAATGTTTGTCGACTGACGGAGATATTTTGAACCTATCATATAGTTTTATGTATATTTTTCGGTCTATATAGAAGTTCTAAGTTCAAGACACCTATTGAGCTCTTATTTTATTTTAAAAATGTCGTATGAACTCTTCCTTATAATTTAGCACGGCAAAATTCTGATTGTTTGCGAGCTAACAAAGCTTAGGCGCTAAATTGACTGATGAGGAACTAATCTCATGAATTAAAGCCTTTTATGTCAAACAGAAATGTAGAGTCACAACTTACCTCACTGTCTTCAAGGGTATCGTAAATAACACACTATATACTTCTTTAACATATTAAAAACCACATCTATTTCTTTTTTGGGTTCAATGTTTTATAATCATGCTAAACAAACTTGAAGTCGCGAGTTAGATTCCATCACTAACGAACTGTTCCTATAAATTTTCATAGTTTTAAACACTCTCAAAACTTGGAGACAGGTGATAGAGTTCTATGATAAAAACTGCCATCTTTTTGTCTTTACAGAATATTTGTAAGATATTATAATTTCCTCGAATACTTATATGCTAGGATGTTGAAAAGTTGATTTGTGTATTTGAAGCATGGACTTGTACGTGGTGTTAGAAACTCATCATTGCTTTTTATTCAACGGGTGTAAATGTAAAATAATAAATTTAACCTGTTTTTGCCTAGTTATGTGGGTCTTGTGGCGAATATCATACCTGTTAGAATTTATAAAACAATAGTACACGGAGACTAGTGATTGATGTCGTTTTACCAGTTTGTATGTAACAAGTTACGGCTACTGGATGGAGTTGATATCAAACTCTTTTATTGCATTTGCCACAACCTCAAGTAAACAGTAGTTTTATTTAAAGTAATACGCTCCTCAACTTTCCATTTTCAGTCTTTTGGAATACATGGGAATATCAGAACTTTGTCTAGTACTACTAATGTGATTACAAACGCTAATTTGGATGCTCCCGCTGGATCAAAACACTTTTTAGGCCTAGGGTTTCATAAAGAACTCCCAAAGGCTTGTTATGGCGGCCGCCATACTGTTGCAATGCTTCTCGGGGATGGTGTAGGACCCGAACTTCTATCATACGTCAAAGAAGTTTTCCAAGTTATTGGAGCTCCAATAGATTTTGAGGAAGTTGCCGTAAATCAAGAATCTGAAGATGTTACATTTACTGATGCTCTACTTGCTATGAAACGCAATGGTGTTGGAATCAAAGGAAATTTTGCCACAGAACCAGGTATTACAAAGTTTTGTATGTAGATCTTTCCATATCATTGTTTTAAAAAAGATTCGTTTACTAATCAGTCTGTTGATCACTAAGTGGTTTTTTTTGGTGGATTTTGCTTTGATAATACTTCATTTCAAGTTACTGTTCATCTTTAGTTACACGGATAAAATCAGAGTACATTGTATGGGTCGCTAAACGGGCGTATCAACGGATTAAGACCTGGAGGCTAATTCTAAGGATAAAATAATGCTAAGAAATGTTGGTTTTGAGAGGTAATCTTTGTTCTGTAGAGAAGTAATTTGTGAAAAGCCAAATAAGCACTTAATGACTTAAAATAAAAAAATCGGACTAAATTTTTTTACTTGGTAAGATTCCAACTGAAGAATGTCAATAGATGTAAACGTTTCAACATACTTAAGGACCAGAAAACAAGGTTTTATGTTAAAGTGAACTTATTATGAGTCCAAAAACTCAACAGTTTATTCCACTCTTTTATATTATAATATAAAAAGTAGATTAGTGGTCCTGAATCTCTCACATGGTTACACTTATTGGAGGACTCAATCGGTACGATGCAATAAAACCGACGAAAGTATAGTATCATTTGTAGGACAGCTAACATTCTATGTTTCTCTAGAACATGATCATTGAGGATTAGTTTCATCTTCACTTTGTAATTAAGGGAATTCATCGTTCTAGTCTTATCCATTTATTTAGTTTTGTTTCGTTTCCTACCGATAATCATGGAGGATAAGCTGGTTTACATTTTCCCTCTGTTTTACAATAGTTACTGATTTGGGCTAACTCGATTCATATATCATAGTTGCAAACTATTAGGTATAGTGTTCCGAAAGAGTATGGTTATTTTCTTTCTTGAGTGTATGTTAGCGGGATACAGATTGGATTAAAGCACGTTCCGTGCAGTATTGTGTTGGGGCCATTTCTTACCCAATCAGCGCTACTGGATACTTGCAGAAAACTCTAGAATCTCATATAAAAACTATAAATATACTAACATTTTTCTTATTGCGATTGCTACTCCCATCTACCCTTGTTATTTGGAATATAATTTCGTTCCTGTTCAACGTGTTATGATTTGGTGACTTGCCTAGTGAAGTAATTTCCAAGATTACTAAGCAATAGGAGTAGCTGGGTCGTAATAAGAGAAATTATAACGACGTAATACTTGTTTAATATAGATAAGCAGTTTCTTAACATACGTGCTACTGTCAAAATTAACAGTAACATAAACCTTTGACGTTTTATATGATTACCAGTGGTAAAATACATCCCATCAACTCCGTTATTTAGAAATAAAAGTTTAGGGACATCCCAATCATTTCATCATTACAAGAAATCATTCAAAATATAAAGTCTGTACGTGGTTATTAAATTGTGCTTCACTTTATTCTTACAAACATTTTGTATAGATAATACCGTCGTTCTTAGGAGCATGGTCTTACTTGTGACTAGAATTTAAAATACAAGAATATACTGTTTTTTAGTGCAAAAAATAATCTAAAACGAGATATGTTAGTGTGGAATTATGTGATATTCAAAGTAGTGATAAAGTATAGATAAGATGTATATACACTGCTCCTTACGATTTGGAGCCACATTACTAGAAAGTATAGTCCTTTACATTCTACAAATCCATAGACAGCAAAACTAAGCTTTTATTTAAAATTTAACTTTTCCAGGTCAATCGTCAAGAAATGTAGCTCTCCGTTTAAACTTGAATTTATATGCCTTTGTCCAACGATGTCGAAACTTTCCAGGTGTGGTTACACGTCATCAAAATGTCGATATCGTTATAATACGTGAGAATACAGAGGGTGAATATAGTCGGGTAAATAAATAAATGTACTATTTTTAATGACTTTGTTCATGTTATTTTCTGCAGCTGTCTGACCAGCTTCAGATATATATGCCTCCCATACTCAAGCTCAAACTGGTACGGGATTTAGAATTCCAAGAATAAATAGGAAGCTGTAATCGGTGACCAAAAATAATGTACATATATCACTGGTATATATGTAGGTATGTGATCTACAGGACCTGGGACCCCCAGGACCTTGACAAAGGAGATAATCATAGTGTGCTTTATCTAATCGTTTCTTGACTTTGAGATGCATGTGAAATATCTGATTTCACCCAGCCTATCACTGCTGTATGTAGGATATAGTCGAGTAATTATAACTTAGCTGTTCTTGTATCAGTGCTATTTTACATTTGGTTTTACCAAGAATTGAAAATATGAGACGGTATCAAAACTTTTCTTCCAATTAAAGTATATCACAATTGTAGTCCCTGATTGATTCTTGTATTTGAAACGAGGATCTTCAGATATACTTACAATCACATTACTTTTAGATAATCATAAAAATCAAGTTATTACAGTAAACAAACCACACAAAATAGCTGTGTGCTTTGACCCAAATTCTGCTTCCTTTAGTAACCAACTTTGTTAAACTCAGATTTCAATACAGTTTACATTCTTTCATCTAATGTTCCATTCTCTACATATTCCTGACTTTAATTGGATTTTCATATACATTTCTTGTTTTGATATCGCCTTCATTTAAATTAGTTGGAGCACGAAAATGTTCCTGGAGTGGTAGAATCTTTGAAGATTATAACTAGAGAAAAATCCACTAGGTTAGTGTCTTTATGCTTAAAAATATTTAATGTCATTTTAATATCAGATTTGAATTTACGTTGATTTCAGTTGCTGAGTTTTAACGGCTGCTGACATATCTGAAAGTGAAGAGTAAGGGTAATCATAAGATAAGCTTATTTATAAAAAGAATCAGGATAATGTAATACTAATGATATTGACAGTGGACATTATTGGATGTTGTTAAGTTCGCGATAAACAGTGAGAACCAGAAAGAACTGCACAACCGTTTTATCGTAGTTTGGGACTTTCCAACAGTGCTCATTTCTGAACCTTCTGGAGACCAAGCTGGGGACATCTGGTCTCACATAGAGCTGGTGTGATAATAATGACAGTAATTATTTTCCTCATTCAGTATTATATTTTCGGCGAAATGTATAGAATTCTCAGCACAAAGTATTTGGCAAAGTTCCCGTTTGTCATTTCTTGGTCGATCCTGACGATAAAAACCGAGTGATCGCCAGTTAGATGTTAGCAGTACACGAGTCGACATCTGGATGATGTTCATTCTTTTCAATGCATAATACCAGCCACCACGATGTCTCTGATTATACTTTTTTGAAACTTCTACAGCGAAAGGTTGTGTACTTTTCATAAACCCGTCCGAATAGGTTATTCGTTTCATGGATATTATGATGTGTTGAAAAAACATAGCTTGTTGAAATATCTAGATGACAAGAGCAGGTAGCCCAGATATTCTCTCAGGCCGCTTGTTAAATAATGTCTAGACAGACTAAAGGTTCTAAGTCCAATCCCCCAGTGGGGCTTTGGATGCACATTTCTAAGTAGTTTCGTATTAGGACAGAACAGATATCCAGTGCTTCAAGGTTTTCGGTGATTATCTTACTAAGTCGGTTCGTGATTTCTATGAGAAGATATTAGTCTTACGAATTATTATCCTGACTTTCAAAATGCATATTCTTCATGAGAACTTCCATAGAAACTTGGATTTACAATATTACTGAGTAAACAGTATTGTTTAAGTTGAGTACTTTGTTTATGATTGCTACTAAGGACACACTACATACCACTAATTTGTAAAATACTGATATTTACACTAGTTCAGACTTCTCCATTTTTGTTGCTTTTATGCTTCAAGTTTCTAACCATTAGTGAAACAACGTCACCAACTACTTATTGAGGCTCTTTGCTTGCCGAAAAATGGGTTCATTAGTAAGATATAGTATTCCATATTATTAATGTGTCTATGCATAGTAAGTCGGATGACATTCTTACTTGTTAGTGAGAAAGTTAAAGCTTTCTTTCATTTATTCTATAGTCATCGGTTCAGTTATGGTGTTATTTTTGTGTTGGCTGTGAATCATTCTTTAGGTTTGTACCATATATTCATTACTGACAATCAATAATTTTCTCCTCTCTTCTCGCATAGACTTCCTTAAGATCTTCTGTTTTGTCATAAATAAAATAATGCGAGTTTATTGTTCTCCTTTATTTTATTAAAAAAAAAGAATTGCCCAGTTTGCATTTGATTATGCCGTTCGACACAACCGAAAAAAAGTCACAGCAGTACACAAAGCCAATATCATGAAATTGGGCGATGGTCTATTTTTAGAAGTATGCTCTTCAATGGCCAAAAATTATCCACAGGTTAGTGGTAACCTCCAATAACTTCATTAATATACAATTTTTCTTATTATACAAATCAAGTATTGTTTTCAGTGAGCGTATAACGTTACGATAAAAGCTGTGACTCAGTGGTTCGGATACAATCAGGTGCAAATTCCACCTTAATTTGTTTGTGGCACCCTCCGATCACTAACACTTGCAAAAATAGTCTTAGTTATAGCGCAGCACATAAAAACCTCTATTTGGTAATCAAGTTACACTAGGAAAAGGCAAGTGTTATAACGCCAAAAATGAATTGAACAAAAACTTGCAGTTATTTTCATTCTAACAAGTGAGAAAACACAAAGAAATTAAACAACTATGTAAATTTCGTTGTTTGAATCACGAAATGATCCTAGTTAGACCATCATTGGGAACATGAAAGTAATGGAGGGCTGTTTCGTCCTAGTATGAAACTCCTCAACAGTGCACATTAACGACCTGGATTCCGGAAATCGACCCCGGAACCTTTCATCTCACGTACAAACTTTAGACTAATAAGCAGGTATTCAGTAGTGTTAATGTTTAACTCCAATTAGTTTGTGATATTGTGAAAGTCTCGTACATTGCCTGTAGGGGATAACTGTTTCACACGTAAAATGGATGAAACCAACTGATCATGGCTTTTCGCTAGAACTTCAGAAGTTACATTTTGAAGCTAATCACCAGCCTGTACATTATTCTTATTAGTATCGGGGGATTTGTGAAACGTAGAATTTCCATAGTGGTCAGATCAGTTTGTAACTTGAACTATTGGAAATTCTACAATTTTTACAAATCCTATCAGACTAATGATTAACGATAATCGTTAATTATATCTGACAAATGTTCAGAGAAAGTTGATAAATGCTCCTTATGATTATTATTCCGTAACTGTTGGGTCTATTAACGATTCCGAGATTATCGTATATATATTCTTGTGCAGATAAATTATTTGTTTAATTTAATCATTAATTCTAGACAGTTTTACGATTACGAGATGGTGGAAGTGAGCGGTTTTGTTGGAGTTTCGTTTTATGAACTGGATGGTTAGATTGTGGAGCCTTCATTGTTCTCTTGAACATCATCAGCAAAAATTTGAAAGAGGTGAAATACTCGAATTCCTCTAAGTATGACTAATAGCATCTCCTGTATACCTCAATCCTCGCTAATCATTGTTGATGTTTAAGTTGTCGAGGTGTGTTAGTATTGTTCAGAACAATGAAAACTCCATACTCAAACCATTCGGGTTAGAAAATCAAACTTCATTAAATTTTCAGGATTTACAAGTTTTATTATGAACACCTAATTGTCATATCAATCTTAGTAATTCTTTTCTTTTCTTTATAATCTTATTGTGGAAGTATAGATTGAATTCAATCATATGATTATTGATAATACATGTATGCAGTTAGTTAGTAAACCGCAACAATTCGATGTGATTGTTTTACCAAATTTATACGGAAATATAGTCGGTAATGTGGCAGCTGGTTTAGTCGGTGGAGCTGGTCTAACAACAGGTATAAATTTAGGCCCACAAAATGCCTTGTTTGAAATGGGCACACGGAATTCTGGACGTTCCTTAGCTGGGAAAAATATTGCTAATCCATGTGGTATGTTATTGACATCAGCAGATATGTTAGAATATTTAGGTAAGTTTATTAATTTTCTTCTAAATTTTGACAATCTATTACTGAATCATATTTAACAAGTAATTAGTTAGGGATTTTTTCATATTACTGTTTTCAACTTACAATATTAGTCTCCAAGTGATTGTATTGAATTCGCTGAAGACATTTAAGAAAAATTGGACTTGTAAAAACTTATATATTAAATAAGCCAAGAAAGGTTCTGAAAACACTGAGAAGTATCTTATCTAATCAGCGTTCAGTAGAAGCTTTGCCAGAAACATCTAGAAATTGAAAAGTCACATTCCGAGTTTCTGATTGTATGATAGTGCTACTAGGTTTAGTAGCATTCCAGTATTTTTGGGAAACCCAGGTACATTTAAAACACTATAAAAATCCTATATTTTCTGTACATAAATGAACATTTGGAGTAAAGTGTTTCCTACGTATTTCGGGACTTTTCTCTTGTGTTCAAGTCACTGTGTAGTTCTAGCATGACGGCGGGGGTTACTAGAAGAGCTTAGGAAATAAATCTAGCGTTTAATAAGCAAGACTTATCAGTATATATTATAGATTATCATTTTCAATCATAAATCTGTTAAATTTATTATGATGGTTTTCTCTACTTTTTCAAGGTCATATCAAAGAAGCTAAACTTATTCGTGATTCAGTTGTGAATGTTGTTGGAGAACAAAAAATACGTACAGCTGATTTGGGTGGTAGTTATAAAACTAGTAAAGTGATTGAAGCAGTCTTGAAAAGTTTAAGAAGTCAACTTGCATCGTGATGATAGTGGAAGGAATGAAGAAATTGGAAACTATTGTGTTTGCACTTAGCATATATATTTAAAGTATCCGTATAGCTTTCAGCACTATTCGTTGTAATTTGGTCTTGGCTTCTGCCTTATCTTCAGGTTAACACATTTAGTGAAACAGCAGATTCATACCCACGTTATCGTATACGTTTGCTATGAAATATGTAAAATATGCTTTAAATATATATTTCAAGAATAGTAGAGTGCACCTGTCTTCTAGTCGATGAATGTTGTAAGTTGATAACTGATTATAAACCACGTTGCCTACCACTTATACAAGTAATAAACCCACATTCTCCACTTCTCTCAAATCGACTCAGTTTGTGAATTGGCGGGATATATACAACCAACCACCTTGATGCTCCCTTCATAACAGCGCTTTTTTTAGCTACTACTGTAAATTACTTAAGATTGTGATTGGTCATCTTTCTAAGAGAAGTAATCACCACAAACCACTTAACAGAGCAATAATCATCAGTATAGGGGTTGTGGAGATTATTAAGTTTTTGATTGAGATCATGAACCGATTGATGTTAGACCACCGTTGGAAACCTGGAAGCACTGGACGGCCGTTTCGTCCAAATGTGGAGCTAATCCGTGTCGGGTAGAGACAGGTATCTACCTCAGTAAAATGGAAGATGATCACGCAATTTCGTGGATTGGTTGATGTTAGGCACTAACACCATTGGATGCCGGCTCAGTGGTCCAGTAGGTTAAACGTTCGCGCGCGAGACTGGGGGCCTTGGGTTCGAATTCCACGAACGGGGTCGTGGGTGCGCATCGCCTAGGAATCTCACAACAGAACGAGACGGCCGTCCGATGCTTCCAGGTTTTATTGTGGCCTAACATCAATCGGTTAATGATCTCAGTCAAAAAAGAGCAACAATCACATTTTTCTCATCAATGATAATAATAAATACACGGGTAGAAATTCTATAAATACTAGAAGTAGAGTTGATTGAAAAAAATAAAAGTTAACTTTAAAGTCGGTGTTAAAAAATTCACATCCAGAGTAAACCACTAAGAAACAAATGTGAACTACGTCATCATATTTAGGTAGCTATATGTGACATGCCGATTTCTAATGTATTATACAGAGTTGGTGGGGAAATCCAATTTATTGTTTAGTTTAAAATAACAGGGTTCTTTGGTAAAGAGTGAAAATTGTACATGAAATATTTCATTTGTCCTTTACATCCTGTATGACTTTTCTGATTCTTTATTTCAATCTTCTCAACTTTCCTTTGACAAGCATTCCACTCCAAATTGATGTTACATACTACTTATGTCGACAGACATAAATAACATATACCACAATGTGCTCAGATTCGTACATCATACACCTGTTTTTTCAGCGATAGTAAATACAACATACTCATCGGTGGAGTTTTTTTAATTTGGACTAAACAACCCTGTTCAAACTAATATTATTCGGTAAGATAAATACTACTTACTGTCCTACGTTAGGACAACTTTTGTTTGCCAATAATAAAAGTTGTTTCTTCACAAATATTGCTTAAGAATAGAAATTTCATGTGATCATAAAGATCAAGGATATTGGCAATATGGTACTTATACTTGTAGCCTTAAGCAAAGTTAAAAATGAGTTTGGAATCTCGGTGTTTTTTTTTTGTCAACAAATGGATATATGGTTTATAAGCTAAGAGTCTTTCGCCAAAAAAAACTTAATGAGAAAATAATATGAATCTTCACTACCATAAATAGCAACGTCTGAGCTTCAAAAATGTATTCATTTTTATGGTTTTTAAAATTTGAATTGATATTAATAGCTTTATTCATTACTATACACTTTGTTACAGTAAGGAATTCTTAGCATCATTTGTACAACACTATTACAAATCTTTATTACGTAGCTTATCTTCGATGACGAAGGTTTACCATCAATTCGAGAGACATAACCATTTTTCTGAATCATCAGATATCGACTACATAAATTCCAAATATACCCGTCTGTTTATCTTTAAGGGTTAAATAAGAAAGAGAATATTTCAACAAATGCACTGCCCCTTGTTAGATATTTTCGATATTTATTATTATGGTAGGTTGTAAACCTTTCATAATCCCTTGTGAGGATACACAGTTGGAAAATAAGTAGCCCAAGCGTTTGAGCAGACGTCAGCGTTTTTGAATTTCGTACAAAAAACTATATGACAGATTGTAACTTAATCCTAAATAGATTAACAGGAAAATGTAATTCTGTTAGTATGTTTATTGTAATTTTAGAAAAATCTCTAAAAAAAAAAACCCCTTCATTTCCTAATCAAAATTACTGTATTTGTATTAACAAAAAAAACAAAGGAGATAAACATCAGAGAAATAAATTATCTCAAAATAACATACAAAATTAGTTAAGGAATAGCGTATTTAATCATTATCATTGATAAGAGGGATGATTTATACAATATGTATATAAAGTGGGATAAAAACATAGAAAATTCTAATTATTTCTTTTAATCATATTTACAACGATGACCACAACCAGTTGGACATTCTGATCTTTTCATAAGCCAAGCCTAGAATTGTAGATGATATAATAGATGGACAGAGAGAGAAAAAAGTGATTCGAATGTTTACTAAAAATTCCCATGAAATTGCATAACAATAATGTGTAGAAGATGAATGGATGTATGTAATTCAACTGATGATTGTCAAGGTTTGTTTTATTCGAAATGGAAGTGAACAATTTATACACAACGGAGGATATTACCATCCACTAGTATAAGTCTAACCTTTGTGCAAAAAAAAGACAGTTTGTTTAGACCCTCATTCTTCCATGACTACCCTAACCTCCCTTTTTATCTTCCATAATCTATCGTTTTTATTTATTTTATCATTTCCACTCCTTTCCAATTATTTTCACCATATTAATTAGGAACTACTAATAATTCTATTCTTAAGAGCTATCAAATGGAAAAATATTTCACTTTACCACTGTTTCACTAGCCGATTATATTCAATAACTTCCTTTCAAGTATTCACAACATGCCACTCTTAATTAGTTAGCACCTTTCTATTATACTATAGAACACTATTTTAGCAAATAGAACTGGCTATTAAATGTAATTGTACAGCCAAAGTAAATGAAATCGTCTAAAAAATTTCCCTTCGCTGCATTGCCTATCTTACTCATCAAGTGACATGAATTGAAGATAGTTGATATGACAGACTAGATTTGGATTCTAATATAACAGTTTAAAGGTAATGTGGTTGCTTCAAAACTTGAACGTTTTAAGATCAACTTTTGGGTTTATACTGTTGAAACAACTGTCTAGTGCTACCTAGTTTCCAATAGTTTTTAACCTAAAGTATGTCTCAGTAGCGTAAACAATTACTGCAAAGTCCCCAATCCTAGTAATTAGAAAAGTTTATGCGACTCAAGTCAGACTCCAGAACAAATTGAATCATACATTGAGAAATGTTACATTTAATAACAACACAATGTCTTGGTGATTATATCTACTTAAAAAGACGAATTGAATTAGGTAAAAAGTGATAGTATACAGTAGATGCAACTACAGTATAATGATGTAGTGATTCTGCGGATGTCTAAAAATCATTACCATTCTAAGTAAAATCTTAATACTAAGTGTTATAAGAGTGGTCATCAACTCTGCGATACATGTACATCCAGTTGAGGAGGCCCGAATAAGACGGAATAAGCGTCTTGGGTTTCACTGTGAGCCGCCATCCATCTCCGCTTATAACGCTTGTGATTTAAGGTAATAAAGCAATCCACACAGGATGCACATATTCCAACAAGAGACTGACCAATTACGGTCCTAAACAGTAATCGAAAGATTGAAACAACCAGCACAAATGAATTAAGAATTAATTTATGTTGCTTAAATATTGGATATTGAGCTGACAGACACTGTGCTACTTAAAATTGCTTCAAAAGAGTTAGTAACCAAGTCCCTATAATCTGAAAATTTGTAGTGTATATGACCATTCAACAGAATGATTTTAAGATGTGATTAAAATGAACACTTGTTTTAGAGTATTTCAAGTAAACAAACTATTGGTATATGAGTCATTCAGTTATACTACAAGAGACGGAAATTTACACTACATAGAAGTATCCATCTTACCTGCATATGATCCAAATGACCACCATGACTACAACCTCTACAACAAACAAATAAACCACGAACAACTAGATGACATAATGCACAAGTTATGGTAGCTGGATCAAATGATGTTGCATGACGTGAACAAGCCCAACCAGAATGTCCAGTTAATTGTTGAGTTGTTTCACTGGCACACAATGGTTTTGTGCATAAACCACATCGTATTGATAATGTTGTTGAAGCTTGATTTAAGGCTGCTACACCCGGTGCTAATGCCAAAGACATGTTATTTAAACGTGAAACAAATGGATTGTCAATACATGTTAAACCACCACTTTTCCACCGAGTTCGTGTATTTACATCCGATCGAGTATCTCCAGTATTTCCAGAAGTTTTTGATTCAGATTCTATGGGAAATTTGAACAAGTGAAAAAAAATGTAGACAGATAAAAGTGAATTAGCGTTAGTATAATTATTTACTACCACAAACACTACAGTTTGACGAAAATGTAACTTAATAGTCAGTGGACAATATCTTAAAATTTATGTAGTGCTTGAATCTTTTCTATCTGATGATACAGTATATAAAATGTAATTAACTATTTGGAACACAATTCTTTTAGCAATCACACATTGAGTCGTATTTTTTGAAATTATCATTTCTGAAATGGTGGAGAGAATTTGTAGCTCAGGTGGATGATTTTGGTGGAGTTTTGTTCTCTGAGCTGGATGATTTGGTCAACCAAACTAGAGAACAAAACCCCACCAAAATAATCATTTATATTCAAACCATAGAATGACAATTTTGACAAGTTATCATCGATAGTCATATTAATAATAATAATAATAATCTAAAATACAACTTGTAGTTAGTTTTGAATTTCCTTCCAACCTGTTTATCATCGGTGCATTCGCAGTTATGTGAAGCACATAGTCTAATGACCTAAAACGATGAATGTCCACAGTTTCATCAGGTGATTCATTACTCCTACCTGGTTATCTGTCCCTAATTTAAGTACCAATTACTTCGTAATTCTGTTGTACGTGGATGATGCTTCGAAAACCTATGATCGAATCTTATCAAGAAATGCATGTCACTAACGTACAAAAACTATACTACAGTATTTAAATAGCAATAGGATTGAATTACCATTTACAAATGATCGATAATCACAGTTTATTGTGTTTTCGTATACCTTGCTGTGTCATGAACCCAATAGAACTAACTAAAAGAAGCTATCTACTGAACCGTTCAGTTACAGATCAATCTTTTTTTCGTAACAAGAATTAACCGTCACTAATGGGTTGTATTAAGTTTCTAAACTTAACATACAGAGACTAATAGGTTAGTATTCACTGACTAACTGTATTAACAGATGCCTGGTTGAGGAATAATAGGGAGTGGTTGTTAACTAACAAACTTGGTTGTTTACATTCACAAAGATAGTGATGTCAGAAAAAGTAACCTTGTTATTACCTGGTTGTTTCATGACAATCGGTCTGAAAACATAGTGGTGATTAATACTTCTAAGACGTTCCCGTAAATATATTTGATTATCGGCACCAGCAAAAGGATTACCGCATTGCTTTATGATACGTGCACACACAGTCCATAATCGGAAACGAGATAATAATTCTATGTGGTGGAAAAACGAAATTTGGAACTGATTAAGTTTTAGAAGAAATACATCGTTGACTTTTAATCTAATTATTTAGAAATTAGAAAAGTAAATAAAGTCTTCGGCATCGACCAACCTTAACGAGTGATGGTGGACAGTGTATATTGGCAAGAAGCTAGTCCAAACTATGACGTAGCATCAGTTCGTGATATCACTGACAGCTGGACTGAGCCAAGTAAGTAGATGCAGACTGTCTGGTTGTGGTTCGTGCGATTATCCTTATCAATGGTTAGAGACTTTAGATGAAACAGCTCAGAATTATTTCAAATGAAGTAAGTGTATTTACTATTAGTCTGCCCTTAGATCCTGAGTTTCGAAATGTTCTTTCCCCTGGTTTTCTTTTTTTTCTATACCTAATGTCTCATTCAAATGCATACCTAAATTATATTTATTGTATTTCGAATGAATATTTTTAACATGAAAATGAACAATAAACAGACAATAACATTTAAATTATTCAATAACTTATTCTTATTATAAAACGATAAAGCATCTGATTGCGATTATTTTGTGATATTACTCTTTAATCTTGAATAATCTATCTGTTTTCTTCGTAGTTGAATTCATGGGTTGTTTTATCCTAGCGCTTCCAGGTTTACAATGGTGGTCTAACTTAGATCAACTCATGAATTAAACTGTGAAAATACTACAATCTCCACAAATCCTGTTAGCGGGACATAGACTAGATTAAAGCATGCTCAATGCACGATTGCTTTGATGCACGCTGATTAGCTCATTCTTATCCAATCGGCGTTAGCCAATACTTAGTAAACACTAGAAATCTTATGATGTGAAAAACTATAAATATACTAGCGTTTTCCTATTGCACTACATACTTGCTTCTTGCTTCCATCTAACCTTGTTATTTGGAATATAATCTCTTTCCTGTTCAACCGTGTTTTGATTTGGGGTCTTGTCGAGTGAATCGGTGTCCGAGAATACTAAGCAATAGGAATAGCTGGGTTATATCGTAGGAAAGAGATTATAACAAATCCCCAAACTGATAATCTATTTTTGTGATTAGATAAGTAGCTCTTACATAAATGTTTGATATAAAAATAACAGTTAGTTGACCAGGTATTCTATGTTTTTAAACTACAATGATAGGTTCTGTGAGTAATTGATTTATTTAGCTGCAACAGTTATTCCAGGAATTACAAGGTGCAGATTTAAGAAGTCGTCTGTTTTTTTGCCAAACTGTGACAACTAGTGATATTCTTCATCTACACACAAAAAAGGTGAAATCGATTTTGAATCCGTAATCTACTTGGTCGGAAGCTATCATTCCCATGAATCAATCAATTTTCACTTCATATAAACTATTTGAGTAAAATACACACATTAGATACAATACAACAAAATAAAGTATATTTACCTAAATATGAGATAAACCAATGTTCTAAAATAGACTCGCTAATACATTCGCTTAGACGTAAACGTTCCGGACCCAAAGCCAATAATGCTGTACATACAGTTTGAACATGCCCAGATTCAACCTAAACAACAAGTGAACATTATGAATTCAACTATCACTTAAGCGATGCACAATAGACAATTCGATTACTTATGTGACTATATTGTTTAAAGCATTAAATGAATATAATCATAATCTAGTTCCATCATCTGACCAAAAAAACCCAAAAAGGTTTAAACATTTCACCAAAATCAAATACAATTAACGTCGTGATTTTAGATACAAAGTATAGTGCTAAAAAAAATGAATGCTTCTCACGTTGCGAACAGGAGATTAAACAACGTCAGTTATTGGTTGAGAACAACCAAAGAAAGTGGAGAATGAGTTCTTAAATACATGAAATTCTTTTTGATTAGTTATACAATTTTAAGGTCGTAGGAACAAATGTACCAAGGCATTGCAGGATACTGAAAATTTACTAGTATAACAAATAGTGGAAATGCTTAATTTCACCATACCATGAGATACTTCGATAGCTTACAGACATGTTCAATTCACAGGGATTGAAAGGCACTAAATATAGTCTGAAAAACATATCTACCGTTATCGAGAAAATTACAGAAAAAAACATTAACAACCAAACAATGAACTCGTTGGATAACAAATAGTTGATTTTTAATGCTTCTTTAATAAAGACTACGGATTATGCATGTGAATCGTTTATTCAGAACATAAAATAAAGATAGATCTACCATTAAAAATCCTACATGAGCTACTTTGATGTACAATGAATATACACTTTTTGTTAAACGAAAAAATCTACCATCAAATAGAAATTCCAGTGAACTCTCCATTGGGGCACTTCTTGATTGATATGTATATAGAAACGATTCATTGCATAACATAATAAATAGGTCGGTTTCAATTATAGAAAGATGGATGACATAGGCTTCAGTCTGTTTATTTCTTTGAAGCGTTTAACACTCTATATCCATGAATAGAATTCGCTTGTTAACTAGAAAAATGTGGATTTATTTTATTGTTTAGTGTTTTACTGTCAAAAAGAACAGAGTGAAGTTTCAGGACTACAATTTTCCATAAAATATCATGGGCTTACTAGCATACTTGTTTTCGCTCTTTTGTTCCATCCTTTAAAGGAATCTCATCATCAGTTTAATATTTTCAGCCAGAAACATTTGCATTGAACATGCTGTCTTTGAGGGGCGGTGTTAAACTTGTTTTACATTGTTCTTACTTTCTTCTCTTCCACTCTTTTGCGCATTGTTTTATACTACTTATTTACATTCAGTAAATAGTTGTATACCTAGCAATTTTTAAACTTATGTTGTAACGCAAGTTGTCTTGTAATATTTCGAAATATAAAATTTATTGTATTTATCGTTATGATTACTTTATCTCAATCACTGTAGCAGCTATCTAAAGTTTTGTGCATTTGTTTGAACGCAACAGTTCCTATATTTTTTGCTCTTGGTTCTGGTTTTGCTTGTTAATAAACTGTTACCAAGTTTAGACACAGCTATCAGCTGTGTTTTGCTCTATCGTGTGTTGTAATTATTCTTTAAGTAACTGTTACAGGGAGCCTTTTTTTAATCCATGCAAAAATACGCGTTAAACGCTACAGACACTTTACTAGTTGCGGTTTGTAACTAATTTTTGTGTATTATTGAATATAAAAAACGATATTTTAGACAAATTGTTGTTTTGCAAACTTCGGTTTTGCGGGGAGTATATCAATTAGGTGACATGGACGCTTCGATAGACCTAACACTATTTCTATATTTAGAAGTAAAAAATAATTATTCAGTCATTTTAACTTCGATCATGATATTGCGTTAGTGACAAGAGTCAGTCAGTCAGCTACAACGTAGGACCAGGCACATATATGCATCGGTCCAAGTTACCATATAGTAACAAGAACAACTAACATGAATACATATTGGTGAGTAACGAAGGATTTACGAAGTACAAGTTCGGTAACTACAACACAGATTCAAATTAATGTTTGAAAATATCTATAAATGCAATTCACTAGCAATCTGAACGTTTATGCACTACGCTATAACCAACAGCGTTTGTTTAAGGAATAGTTTTACTTTAGTGCTATCCAAACAGGATGTGATAAAATGACGCTTGAAAATGAACCTCTTTGATTGAAAATAAAATGACTTAAACATTGAGCCACTGATCTATAACAAAACATTTGTAGCTCAAAAAGAATAATCCGAAAAGTTTTTCAAACTAGTTATACGGGTCAAAACTAAAACGTTAAACATTCATATTATATAAGATTATTATCTTAGTTACAAAGAAGTTATAAGTCCACTTACCAACTTTATAAGCCATTTACAAATTATAGAATTGATATCTCCAGATATTGGAGACAAAGAGCCAACAGAATTCACAGTATACCCATTTAATAACATTGATGATTCTCTACTGAAACCAGATAATGATTTACTATGATGTGGTGGGGCTAAGAGTTGAACAGATTTTTTACAAGTCCCGAGCAATTTTTGTTTTGCTAAGGACGAGGTATTTGACTGTGACGGTGAAGATGATAATAAGGATTGAGAGATAAGAGGACAATTATATTCGTCATGTTCATCATCACCATCATCATTCTTTACCAAGGTTTCATCAGAACACTTTTTTATTTCTTGGTTAATAGCATCATTTGAATGAAATGATGGAATGAGAGGTGTACTATAAGAAAATAATAAAAGAGCAAGATAAAAAAGTAAGAAGCTAGTGCATATCGTAACACAGTAAAGTGAGATGACAAAAACCAACGTCTGATAATGACCTATTAGAATAATGTAAAACAAATAGAAAATAAACATGAGAATAACCTAAATAATCTTAGCACATAATTAATGTATCAATAGTAATAGACTATATGTATGTTCATTTACTTACTTACGCCTGTTACTCCCAATGAAGCATAGTTCGCCGATTAGCATTCTCCAACGCACTCCGTCCTGGGCCTTCCTTTCTAGTTCTATCCAATTTTTGTTCATATTTATCATGTCTCTCTCCATTTCTCGACGTAATGTGTTCTTTGATCTTCTTCTTTTCCCTTGGCCTTGAGGATTCCAGGTGAGGGCTTGCCTTATGACGCAGTTGGGTGCTTTCCTCAATGTGTGTCCTATCCACTTCCAGCACTTCTTCCTGATTTCTTCCACCACTAGAATCTGGTTTGTTCTCTCCCAAAGTAGGTTGTGGCTGATAGTGTCTGTCCAACGGATCCGAAGTATTTTGCGCCGACAATTGTTAATAAACACTATATTTTCTTGATGATGGCTTTTGTAGTTCTTCACGTTTCCACCCCATACAGTAGAACTGACTTGACATTTGTATTGAAAATCCTGACCTTGGTGTTGGTTGACAGTTGCTTAGACTTACAGATGACCTTCAGTTGCCTTGCGAATTCGCTCTTTCACATCTGCATCAGATCAGCCGTCTTCATCAATGATGCTGCCCATATATGTAAAGGTTTTCACATCTTCCAAAGCTTCTCCTTCAAGTGTGATTTGATTGGTGCATGCTGTGTTGTGTAGGAAAATATTGCTTTTTTCTTTGTGTGCATTGAAACCTATTTCTGCTACACTGGTCGTCTTCTCCTGCATGTGCGATAAAAGAGCCAGATCATCTGCGAAATCTAGATCGTCCAGCTGCATCCTAATTTTTCACTGTATCCCGTGCTCCCCCCCCCCTAGATGTTGACGTTTTCATACTCCAGTTCGTAAGAACTAATAAACGAAAAAGTATAATGTGGTTTGATTTTGTCCTCTACGTTCAACGTAGAACCTTGAACATACGCGCATCAGCCTTAGTTCCCATATCATATCATGTTAGCACAGTGAGACAAAATTATTAAAATAAATCAAATAGTAGTAGAAGTGGTAACATTATTAGTAGAAGTAGAAAAAATTAGATATAGAAATGAGGAAAAAGTTACAGCATTTTGCATATCAGAATTTGAAGGGAGATGATTTCACAGACTGATTCCATATGGTGGTTACGCCCCCTAACCGTTTTCAGCCTAATCCTTACGCCAAACTACAGTTGTAGATAGAAGATGCCTTACAAATGCAAATAGCAATTTACAAGACAATAGATAACGTACGATACAATATGCAAACATTTTTATATTATTTCGTGAATACCTACTACTTTAATTTTTAAGACTAATATTATTCTAAGGATCGACAAACAGCTTCAAGGTAAAATATCATGAAATGCTGTCGAATCTAAAGTTTAGTTTTAGATAAAGAAGATAAAGTTAAATTCTGTTTTCTCTTATGATATACGTTGAGTCAAAAACAGTTGAAGTGTTTTAATTGTACAGTAGTAGCAGTGGTATAACATTCAAGTCTCTACATACTGAAGATTGAATATTTCAACACATTAACCTAATTAGATTATGCTATTTAATACCTGATGTCTCTTAGACTATTGCTACTATGACTCAGTGAATTTTAGGTTAGATTTTTTGTAACACGTAGGTCAGTACATTGAACAGACACCAAAATGTAACAATTTAATATTGATCGAAATCTCTTAGAAGTCGATTTACTCACCAATCAACATCATTATTTAATGGGACAGTTGTAGCAATAGTGCTAGAAGCAGTATATAAACCAGGAAAACTTGATGCTGATAAAATTTGGCTGTTTTGCCGGTCAATTAATGATAAATCATGACAATTAGAAGCTAATAATTTACTACAATCCATTGATTTTCGTTGAAGTTTTGAAGATGAATGATTTTTTCTAGATACTGGTATATCAACACAACATGATACAACTTTACAATTATCATTAGCATTAGTTGTAATTGAAGTCGATTGCCGCTGATCATTTTTTGTACTACATTCAACTGTATTTTGTTTCATTAATTGACGTTTTTGATTATGAATTAAACATGATTCTTTTTGTTTATACTGTAATTGGTTAGAATTTTGAAAAATTTCTGGAGTAATATTGACAGCCGTCGTAGTATTAGTATTAGTGACAAATGCTTCATCGGGTAGATAATCTGTTTCCATGATTACAGGATCGTCATGTGAACCGATCACTAAACAAATAAACACACTTAGAACATTAGAAGAAAACAAATAAACTATAAACATATCATTTAGCGATAATACCAAGAGTGAAAAAAAGGAACTAAGTTACTGAAACTAGTTCTAAATAACAACTCAGTGCCACAGATAAGTTACTGCTATGTTTTCAAAATAAAATTACAATAATAAGACGTTTATTAAGTGAGTTCTGAGGATCTAGCATCCCAAAAATACTAATTTTTCTTAGGCGGTTAGATTTCGTCTCTTATAAGTGATCGAGGCTATAGAGATTCAAGCTGACAATTCAAGTCTTTGTATTCACAAGAAATTTTCAACACCTTTATATCTTCCTTGGTCGAATTAGCTCTAATAAACGATTTTATTTATTGTTATTTTCTATACTATTTGTTTGCTTATTTTTCTACATCCCCCTTCGGACTGCATCTCTCCCAATGTTTGATCCACTGCCTTGTGAACTAGACCTCTTGGTCAAAGGCTTGGGGAGTGACCTTCTATGAAAACCACTTGCTTCAGTTTGAGCAACTGGGGAGTATCCAAACCCATACATAAATTCAATGATTTGTGTAGCTCATACATATTTTGGTGCGCCTTTCGTACAAAAGTTTATGTGTTTAAATGATTTAACTATTTAACTCTACTCATAAGTTAACGAAATAAAATTATAAAAATGGGACGTCTATCAAGTGACGTCTGGGGATCTAACATCCTCAACATTTACAGTCAGTACGTTTGTAACGATAACTATGGGTTGGAACCATAAATGGTAGCAACAGTATCCTCAAGAATGCAGGTATTTAATTTTGAAGTGTGATAATAGTTAGAAAGCCTACGTTCAAAACAATCTATTATATGCATACAGATACATAATAGTGAGTAAAAAATTAAAATGTATATGCGTGATTTTTTGTGAAAACTAAAGCAGTGATCTACGAAATCTAAGTATCAATGCGTTTCATAATCGAAGACAGATAGAGAAATAATACAAAAAGAAGACTGACTACAAATGTTAAGTATAAAAAACATTTAACTTTACAAATGCACAATTTACAATACTGATTTAATTAAGGTTAATTTAAAACACTTATAAAGTATAATATGAAATTATTATACATTTATTATTATAATAGTTACCTTCAATAAGATCTAATTGATCTGGCCTTCTGGAAAAAAAACAATAAAAAAAAGTAGTAATGTCACTGATGAAATGTACAGACAGCCATATAATAAATGGTTAAGAAGGATGTGAAATTTGCTCAGACTGTAAACATCATCCCAAAACCCCGTACAATTCAGTAAGTAACTACTTACTATACAACCATTGGTGATAATAATGAATTATTTTAATTTATTCATAGACACTTCGTAATTTATGTGTGCTTTGCTCGCTAATAGGTGTATGCAGTAAGCGGTTCCTATATATAATACTGATTAGGACCCTAAGGAAAAACGTTTATGTCAACTGTTATATTCTTTTATTTTTGAAGATTTTCTCACGATACGCATTCGATATTTTAATACGACCAAAGATAATTTTTCCTTATTAATTGGTTACCATTTCACAGTATATCTAATTTCAACTTAAGACAAAAGAGTACTATTGCTCCCAAATGCCGAGGGTGTGGAGGGTTTGTCTCCCTCTCGAAATGCTCTCACATGACCACACGTATACAGCCACTGCTAGGGATGTCCTACTCACTGCCTCTTAGAGACGGGGTTGTTGTTTACAAAATTCAGAGAATGAAAAGTGAATGTCCGACGCCTTAAACGTGTTGGTGGATACGGAGGGTCCACCAAGGGGAGTTGGAAAACCCTGATTCTAAACCAATGGTGCACATGGGCCCCAGCATCCTAAAGAAACAAGTGGCGTATGAACCAATTATTGGTCGCCGGCTACCATGGGACTGCATCTCCTGACGTTTCTCCACTGCCTTGTGGATCAGACCTTTAGGTCGAAGGCTCCGAGTGTGGTCCCCTAAGGAAATCACCTGTTTCAGTTTGGGCACCCGGGCAGTATCACAACCCACACACAAATCAAGTGACTTGTGTGGTGTATATGTATTCGATGCCCAATTGTACTAATATTTATGTGTTCAAATAAATAAATAATAGATAAAACTATCGTTTTGTTACAATCGATGTTAATTTATTTAATAAATCTTCCAAGAAAAATTTGTGAATATGTAAAATAAGTAGAATAATTGAAAATCAACTGTATACCTTTTAACTGGATCATTTTCAATGAAAGGACTAGGCTCTAACGGTTCCTGAGGACTTGTAGTATGAAATAAATAGTCAATATCTTCATGATAATTATGAAATAGTAACCCATTATTTAAGATATCATCTTCAAGGCTTTTTAAAATAAACTGTGAAGGTTGACTAATTGGCGGCGATGCTGATGATGATAAGGATGGAATTAATTGATCATTGTCAATTACCAATGGTTTATGTAGGCTATCATAATTCATATTTAAAGATATTGGTTTAGTTGAACGAAATAATAAATCATTTGTCAATGTGGAACAGTCATTGTTGTATGGATTAGCTATAGATGGTATGTTAGAGAATACGCAATCAGTTGAATCATTGTTTGCTGAACTAGAACATGACAGAAACTTTTGTACAGGTGGAAGAGTATCGATAAATTGTTTAGAAGCACCATGGTGTTGAACTCGAACATTACCGGATGAATGCCTTCCTAGAGAAAAAAAACACCCAGCAGATAGTGTAATGTTAAAATATACTGTCGGTCATATTCTAACAAAGAACTTAGCACATGTGTATCAGGTCAATTTGCTAAACGATATGAAGAACAAAAATATTGATCTACACAACTTAAAAATAATTACAATAAATAACATTCTGATCAATAAAATTTCTAACCTTAGATGTATGAAACTAAGCACTTACAAACACAAATCAAACTTACGTTAAATAGGCATTAATGAAAAATACTATTCTTATTGCTACAGTGTACAGAGCGAATAATTGGAAGTCTTTTATAGCACAAGAAAATACTATTTTCTTAAGCCCAGTGAATATGATTACTATCTGAGTTAAAGAAGAACTTTCTTATAATCAAAACGTTAAGCCAGAGATGTTTAGGTTATCTAAAATAGATAGATTGTGGCAAACAGAAAAATCCAGGATGGCCGTTTCGTTCGATTCAGAATTCGTCAGCCAAACGTACGTCCACCCCAGTATTGACCTTCGAAACTATCAGTCATATGCAAAAAAGGACCTGGAACATTTGTGCATCAGTTTGAATTTTTACATCAGGTTAGCATAGTGAGACGAAATTATTAAAACGAATCTCACAGTAGTAAAAGTGGTAAAATTATCAGTAGAAGTAGAAAAGATTAAGTAGAAAAAGGAGAAAAATTAATAATATTTCGAAACTCAGTATTTAGAAGATCAAAAATGAATGCATCTGTAACATTGTGAACGATCCAAATCCAAGTCTCATGGAGTATTTAGTCGTTAGTAACGATAATCATAAGGACTCGAATAAAATTGTGTGCACCTACCTATTCGAATCAGTTTACCTTCAAGAACTTGACAGACTGATGCCACATTTTAATAAGTATTTTTACAGGGAAAGAAAGAAGAGTTACCATAATCTCCGGGTGTTAACACCAGAAATAGAGTAAACTGCAAGGTAGGATTCATGTTGATGAAAAAGCTATTAGATGGTATCTTAATATATATCAAAAAGTTATTCAGTCAACATGTTCGATGGATAGAAGTTTTAATTTTAGAACAGTGTTTACGCATACCTCCAGATATTAGACTGTAAAAGTTCAAGTTTGTTAAATAATTTATGCTTTCTTGTGGAAAGTCAGTCAGTCAGTAACAACGTAGAACTTCGTACGTACTTACATCAGTTCGAGTTGCCACACCAAATTAGCACACAGATACAGTTGTCGATTCAAATCCCGTAGTGGTAGAGGCGGTAAGAGTATATGCAGTAATCGGGAAGATTAGGGTTTGGAGATGTTATTCAAGGAGTATAATACAGTGAAATAAATTTGGAAAGAGAAACAAAAAAGGGATATGAAGAATTCAGAAGATTAGAATTCGGAGGAACTCAAAGAGTGGATGCACCTGAGTCATTGCAAACGGCTTTGAGCCATATCATTCAAGGTCTCTAACCATCGGTTGCTATCATCTCGCGGTCCCCAACCAGGTAGTCTACACATACCAACATGGCTCAGTCCACTTGTCAGTGACTTCATGGACTTGTGCCATGTTTTGGTCTGGCCAACCCTACCTTTCTTCCAACCTACTCCTATACCACTGAACATCGCACGTCGAGGCAGTCGGTCGTTGGACATACGTAACACGTGTCCCAGCCATCTCAACTGATGAAGTTTCACTACGTCATCAATTGATTTGCCATCATTACCTAGTACCCGTTTCCTAACAACTGCGTTACTTACTCGATGGTCTCAGGATATATGAGCAATGTTTCGAAGACACCTATGGTCGAATACTAGTAACCTACTAATATCCTCTACTCTTACCGGCCACGTTTCGCTACCATAAAGTAGGACGGAACGAACTGCTACGCAGTATACACGTCCTTTGGTTGGTAGACAGATATCTCGCCTACTCCATAAATGATGCAAGTTGGCAAAAGCTAGTCAATCCTTCTGTATCCGTGCTGAGATTTCGTCACACACCAGACCACAAGGGCTGATGAGACTTCCAAGATAAGTGAGGCGGTCGACACGCTCAACTACTTCACTCCCTATCATTAGTTCGGGCGTCGATGTAACCCAATCCTGAAGCAACATTTTGCGTTTCGAGGAGGAGAATCGCATCCTGAACATACTTGCATTGTTGCTTAGAGTGGTCAGAAGACTGCATTTTGTCAGCGTCTTCACAAAATAGAACTATGTCATCGGCATATTCCAAGTCAACAAGTGAATCTCCTAGAAATTAAGATGAGGAAAGTGTTATCTCTAAAAGTACGTCGACGACAAAGTTGAACAAGAATAGAGAGAGTGGACAGCCCTGACGAACACCACTTGAGGTAATCAATTCTGATGACAGTTCGCCATAAGCTCTCACTACATGAGATGACGTAGAATGTTAAAAGTATATTATCAATTAGTAATTCGTAATATATTTCGCAATATCCCAGAAACTGTGAAAACACATGTATTATTGAGTAAATAAGTTGAAAGGATTAAATATTGGTTAAACTTACTATAATCCATATTCACATTAGTTTTCGTCTTTTCAGTTAATTGTGCAGATTCTCGACTTCGAATACCTAACGATTCTAAAATCCTTGATAATTTAATGCCAGTAGTGTCATTTGTTACCGTGTCACGTTTTTTACGTCTTAATGCACCAGAATTACGGAAACATTTCAAAGTTTTATTCTCCGGAATATGAACACGTGATGAATCAGTAGGCGGAACAAACTTCTCATTAATCAGTGACGATTGAATATGTTTGGAATATTGATTGTCTAAATCTGAAAAATTATGTAATTGCTGATGTTGATGCGATGGTGTTGATGGTTGAGTCTGCGTTGCATGTTGTTGAGATGATGTACGTTTATGTGGATCAGAACTAAGACTACCATAAATTGAACGTAACAATAGCCAGAATCGTACTAACTAAAAAAAAAATCAATAACGTAGTGACCACGAGATAAACAATGACCAATGGTTTTATGTTCTTAAATGCAAATTATTAAATTGTAGTCATTTTACTGAATACAGAACCATATATATATATCAGAATGAGTTTTGGGGAGATTTTAGGAAATTTCACAGGTTGAAATCATGAGTCAGTTGAAGCTAGACCACCATTGAAAACCTGGAAGCACTGGACGGCCGATTCGCCCTAGTATGGGACTCCTCAGCAGTGAGCATCCACGAACCAGGTCTGTTGTGAGATATCAGCTCACTGAAGACAATGGTGTTCAGTGGCGCAACTTCGTGGATTGGTTTAAGTTAGACATTAACACCGTTGAATGCCAGCCGGCTCAGTGGTCTAATGGCTAAGTGCTCGCGCGCGAAGCCAGTAGGTCTTGGGTTCGAATCCCGCGGGGGGCGGGTTCGTAGATGCGCACTGCTGAGGAGTCCCATATCAGGACGAAACGGCCGTCCAGTGCTTCCAGGTTTCCAATGGTGGTCTAGCTTCAACTGACTCATGATTTCAACCTGTGATATATATATATATATATATATATATATATATATATATATATAATTGAATATTTCCAGACTTTAAGGCTGTTTTCGACTTGATTAAAACTACGGTAGTTTTATCTAGCATATATTGATAATCTCTTTATTCGAGATCTCCACACTACAGCTTCTAAATACTTTCAGTGTCTGGTTCTGTTCAATTAAAGTGACTCGTGACTCTACGTAATGATTTGCTTTAAACTTAAGAACATGTTCCCACGATTAAGACAGTGGAAAAGTATCATAGCTTATGCAGTATGAATAATTTATAAACAAGCGCGTGATCTACGTCCAGATACATCACAACAGCTTGATTATTTAAGAATTGTGTAACACCACGATTTACAAATAAATACCCTAAAATACTTTGTTAAATGAACCGGGTTCTATTATTGAATACATAATATTACACCCAAATGAATCGATGTATCAAATTATAAGCAAATATGGATGGTGGGCAGCAGTGGAATTCAGGATGCGCGTCTCGTCCTATTTGGGACTTGTTTGCTGGATGTACGTGAACCCGAGTTGATGTCCACTCCAGGAATCAAACCCAGTACCGTTCGTTTCAAAAGTCATCATGTTAACCACTAAGCTACTGAGTTCATATAGCCACTAGCTTGTGCAATGGGTTGCAATGGTGTTTGAAGCGAACTGTACTGGGTTTGAATCTCGGAGTGAACATCAATTCCCGGATGTAGGTACATCCAGTTGACAAGTCGCAAATTGGACGAACTGCACATTTTAGATTCTACTGCCAATCACCATCCATCTCTGCTTTAAAAACTTGTGACTTAAGGCAATCCACACAGGATACACATATACCAAAAAGAGACTGGTCAACTACAGTCCTAAACATCAATGGGAAGATTCAAACAAACGACGCAAGAATAGTATATTATACATTTTTACCTAATAACTTCAAGTGCATAGACAACATTGTTCTGTTTAATGAAATCAGAAAATGAGTGAGGTTTAGTTTTTTAAAACTTGTCTGGATCAGTGGTTAGTTTGAGCATGGGAAGCAAACCTTAACGCATTGAAAACTTCGGATATTATATCGAATCCATCATTTTGGAGGCTTAGAAAAACTAAGTATGGATATAAAAAAGTTTGTTAGACTTCTTTTACTTTGCCTTACTTGTGATATAAGGGTTATGTATGCTACATAGATTAGCATGAGAACACGTTTAAAAAAAAGTCTAATAGCAGCCGTACATGAAGTAACTCAATGATATTATTAAATATATGTTTAAGGAATTTAGGTACGTGCTGACTACCTTGTGCTCATCGAGACAATAATAATTTGGCGTTGAAGACCATACGTAATATAGCTTAAAGTATGTTAGCAATTATCTCGATGAATTATTTATGAACCAATCTCCGAATTTTCAGTTTTGTTTTATCATAGACTTTTCATTACGCATTCTAACAAACGTTCTATTGGATTATATTTCGTACACATACTTTCCCACCACTACTGACATTAAATTGACTCTATGGTTTCAATATTTCTCAATTATGTTGCTATTAATGAAATGTTGGAAGTTGAACCAATAAACATTTGTCCCAGATCTGGTTAATGTATCTATTGTTTCTGATTGATATAGTAATATCTTTCACTATACTACATATTAATAACCTGTGAAAAGATTGTTTTATACATCTAGTTCATAGTACTACAAAAAATGAGTAGAAACAAAGAATTTATTTTTGAAAAACAACAGACTTACAAACGGTTGACCAAATTGTAAACAGACACTGGCATTATATTCACAAATCATATCCACATTAGTTCCAATAAACTTATAATTTTTGGCCAATAAAATAATTAGATCAGGTAGTAGAGCATTGGTGAAATCAAAATAGTTAGGTTGGAAAATTGTCTAAAATAATTGGAAATATGTGGTATATATACTATAATAAAAGGATTTGGGGAGATAGTAGAATTTTCGGGTTTAAATCATGAACTGATCTTAGCTAGGTCACGAGTGAAAACCTGGAAGCAATAGATGACCCTATCGTCCTATCGCCACCACATTCACCAACAGAACCGAGACGTTTTCATTTGGCGCGCGAACACTTTCAGACCATTGAGTTGGCATGCAATAGTATATTTATTTAACTTCAATCAACTCAAGTTATTGAGCGACTATTTTCGATTACCTGCAGTGGATAACTGTCTCATATTTGACATAGTGGAACTCCATTGGTCATGACTCTCTAGAACTGAAGCAGTTATATCTTGAAGCTAGTTGCCAATGAGAACATGATTATAAGTGTTATGGAGGATTTGTGGGGATTGTCGTGGACGGGCAATGCTGAGGAGTTACATGCTAGGGTGAAAAGGTTATCCAGTAACTTCAGCTTATTAACGGTGGTCAAGCTATGATCAGTTCGTGATTTGAACTAAAAAACATTTCATAATCTTTAATAATAAACCTATCACTAATTTTACCACATAGAGTATAAGTTTTACGAGTACGGAAGTCACTATGAAAGCAATAATTCAGTGAAAATATATGTATAACAGACACAAAATTCGGTATATTAAGACATAGAAAACATGCAACACAACGAAAAGTAATAACGCAACGTAGACAAACAAATGAGTGAAAGGTTGCACACAGACGAACATACCATTGAGGAACTTTATATGATGTCGTTATGCGATAAGAGCAACCCTTGATAGACAATGAGTATCGAACACACAATCACCAGACATATCCCGATCAGGGAGACTAAGTTTTGTTTATTAATTTAAACACATAAACATTGGTACAAGGGAGCACCAAACACATATGCACCACATAAATAATTCGATTTGGGTGAGGGCTGTGATGCTTCCCGGATGTCCAAACCGAACCAGGTGGTTTCCTTAAAAGGCCACATCCGTACCCTTTGACCTAGGGGTCCACAAGTCAGTGGAGCAACTTCGAGAGATGCAGTCCCATGGTAGCCGTTGTCCAACAATAGGTTCATACGCCAATTGTTTCCTCAGGATCCTAGAGCCCATGTGCACCATTGGTTTGGAATCGGAGTTTTCCGACTTCCCTAAGTGGATCCACTGTATACACCGATCCGGTTAAAGCGTCGGTCACTCACTTTTCATCCTCTGAATTTTGTAAACAACAACCCCTCCGCGAGAAGGCAGTGAGTATAACTTCCCTGACAGTAGTTGTATTCATGTGTTCATATGGGAGAATTTTGAAAGGGAGAGCTGACTCTCCCCACTCTCGGCCATACCAGGGCGTTTGAGACAGTTTTAGAAGCTTACATCATAACAACCTTTATTAGCACACAGCACATGCGACATTTTGTAAACAAATTAACGTCACAACGGTGACAAAGGTGGTTTCGATTGGTACTACCACCTCTGACTTCTCCATATAACAATTTATCTCATTTACCAAACTACAACGGGCACTCAGCTATCCATATAGCTTAGTAAACAAAAAGCTTGCGGCCAAATGTTTAATCGTTGACTAAACACTATCAATATGAAAACTACAGCAACATCACCGTATTTAATAAGAAGCTAAATAAATTTTCAACCTCAATATTTTATACAGTCTAAGCAGTAAAGCTGAGCACTGCTGATGTATCATCACAGTCATAGTTAATAAACAACGCGGTATATTTGTTAAGTCACATTCGCTAAGTCATATCAATATCGGGGGGGGGGCAACAAGATAAATAGTAAAGGAGCTGAAATTATAATAGCAATATTAATTACATTACGAAAAACCAAAACAGTGAAGAAAATCGCCCATAAATAAGGTGTAAATTGGAGAATAAAAAGTCTGAAATAATATCAAAGCTCAGAAGGGTGAATTTATCTGCGCTACTATGATTGCTTCTGAGCCATATTACTCAACTTTTCTAACCACTTGTTGCGGTTATCGTAAGAAATTCAATTAAGTATCCTGAGCCTAGCAACATGGGCCAGTTCAATGGTAAATGACTTCATGGATTGATGCCACGTCTCGGTTAAAGCCCCCTTAGTTTTCTTTCACACAATTCATACTCCAAAGAAGATCTTTCAAAAACCAATAAAACCTATTCACTTTTGGACATTATCATTTATAATACAAACAGATATAACACAACAATTCGTCATTGGAAATCACCGTACTCGAACACAATACACAGTAGTAGCAGTGAATCTTCGTGAGTATTTAACTTACGTGTTTGATTAGTTGAAAAAGAAGTAGTTATGCTACAATAAGCAGCAGTAATAGTAAATGTAACTCTTTCGTTAGAAAAATTAACATCATATTCGTGCCGTATGATGATATAGAAAATTCGTGAATACAACCATTAGTAAGTTATCAGTATATGGTTGTTGATATTGTTGGGTTTCTATTGAGATCGTGAACCATTCAATGTTAGACTATCATTGAAGACTTCGAAGCCCTGAATGGCTATTCCGTCCTAGTATGAAACTCGTCAGCAGTACTCGCCCACGATTCTGTACACAGGAATCGGACCATTCGATTCCCACTGCATGCCGGCTCAGTAATCTAGAGGTTAAAAGTTTGAGCGAGATCGAAGACCCTCGGTTCGAATCTTTCGTGCGAGATCTCTGATGAGGAGTCTCATACTAGCGAGAAACGACAGTCTAGTGCTTTCAGGTTTTTAACGACAGTCTTACACTGATCGGTTCATGATGTCAATAGGTAAATTGATAAACGAAATAAATAAAGATGATTAAAATACATACAAAAATAATGTAAGGGATCCAGCAAACTGCGGCTAGACATGAATCCACTTAATACTATAAAATATAGTATTGTTATAGGATATTGGCAGTTAAAAAGAAACAATCGTCGAATAGTAATGTAAAGCAAAGCTAGAAAAGGTACAGGGTTCAACTCCTGGAGAGATCGTTGATGTATACTGCTGAGGAGCCCAACACTAAAAACAAATCAGTTGTCCAGTAATCCTTAATTTCTAATAGTTGTCTAATTAAAACCAATCCATAATATGAAACATCGAAGAAAGAAATGATCGCATAAAATAAGACAATTTTGCTACTACTTTTCATATTAATGATAATAAAAACAGAAAATAGGAAATTTTCATACCTCTAAACAAGGTTTATAATGAAATAAAAGACTATGAGCTTGTGATACGAATAATTGTGCTGACTTTAAAGATCCCATTTGAGGTAGGTCGGGTGAGGAAGGAGGTGACGCAATTGTCAATGATGTTGTTGTGATTGTTGTACACTCATTAGTAGTGGAATTAGTAAATATAGTAGAGGTAACAGGATTGATGGCAGTTGTACCGATAGTATTAATGTTATTACTAGGTATATTGACAGTTGACTCAGAAAGAATTAAAGTATTGGTAACAATTTGAGTTCCTAATTCATCAGCATTACCAGATGTAGCTACTACGGTAGGATGTTCAAAATCTTTATTACTTAAAAGAGTATCGCCAGCATTACTGTTATTAATAGTAGTAGTATTAGTAGTAATAGTAGCAGTTGATAATGTCGATGCAGGATATGACGGACCATAGTAACTTAATGAGCATCCATTCCCATTGGAATGTTGAACAGAGGTTGGTTGGTTTTTCGTAGCTATTTACAAGATAATTAGAAAAATATTGAGAAAAAAGAAATACTACAAAATCAAATGATATATCGATATAGAATCATCTAATTAACCACACAAAAAAAACCATATTCATTAAATTGTAATATATTTTTGATAACACATTACTCAACTGTAACCCATCCAACACAAACTCGTTTAATAAACAAAACATAATAACAACAAGATAAATAAACGCAGGCTGAACAAACACAAGTAGAACTGTTTACTGTATTCAGCAAAAAGAACTGATTTTAAGGTTAAACGTCAGTTAATCAGTACTCTAGTTTATATAACTAGGTAAATGATCTCTAGAAATAATACTTTTCAAGTACATATTATCGCTATCTAGGAATACTGAACATGTTATAGTAATCATTGGTAAATTGTCACTAGTATAGCATCAAATTATATTATGGAATGTTTAAAACTAATCAATATTAATATTAGAGAATAGTTCTAAAGACCATAGAAAAGAAACAAATTGGTTTGTCTTCCGGCTATTGAACAATATTTTTAATTTTCGGACTAATACAAACCGATGGCAAAAATATTTTCCCGACAATTCAACTTGGCATTATAAGTGGAAAAAGAGAGATGATCAGGAAATCTAAAAAGGAAGTCATTTTGAGGAGTACACTTAAACAAGTTTAAGTTACGCCACTACCTTGATAAACTGTTCGTTCGACGTTGTAAACCTTCGGCGTAACGTGCATTCTACGAACATACATTACTGTATGATGGGCTACAATATACAGTTAGTTCTCCTCACGGACTTATATCACAGCTGAAGAACTATCTAATGCCATGGATTACTGAACGTTGCAGTTTAAGACACCTTTGGAGTGAGCACCCACGAACGCATACTGAATCGATCTGTTCAAGACCAAGCCGAACAAATGACCTTTAGGTCAATGAGTTGAACTCCAGTGATCCAAATCTCTAGCCCCCAATGCCCTAGTACGGTCGAGGGTGTGAAGAGTCAGCTCTCCCTTTCAAAATTCTCCCATATGAACACATGAATACAACTACTGTCAGGGAAGTTATACTCACTGCCTTCTCGCGGAGGGGTTGTTGTTTACAAAATTCAGAGGATGAAAAGTGAGTGACCGACGCTTTAACCGGATCGGTGTATACAGTGGATCCACTTAGGGAAGTCGGAAAACTCCGATTCCAAACCAATGGTGCACATGGGCTCTAGGATCCTGAGGAAACAATTGGCGTATGAACCTATTGTTGGACAACGGCTACCACGGGACTGCATCTCTCGAATTTGCTCTACTGACTTGTGGATTAGACCCCTAGGTCAAAGGGTACGGATGTGGCCTTTTAAGGAAACCACCTGGTTCGGTTTGGACATCCGGGAAGTATCACAGCCCTCACACAAACCACTGATAACTACTACCGCCCACATTGATATTGTGTGGCGCATATGTGTTTAGTGCCCCATTGTACCAATGTTTATGTGTTCAAACAAATAATAGATAAATTAGCCTCGATCAATTTGCAACAGATAACAACGTCCATGCACTGTGGTCTACGATACCTGTCTCATTCTTGATATAGTTGAAAATTACCAAGTAAGACATCTCACTGGGATATTAGAAGTTTATTTCAAAGCTAGTCACTGCTGTGTGTATATGGCTATTTTTAAAGTAATAGATTTGTAGAGAATATTTAATTTGCAATTAATATTCATCACAAACCGATTTTACAGCTGGAAATCTGTGGAAAATCTGGAATCGTTGAAAATCCCATCTTAATCCAGACCTATTGTTATGTTTAGTTATCTAATTGTACTTTTCATGCTTGGAACCGATTCATTTCTCATTTAAGTGGTTCATCAAAAGCTATATAGTATTATGTAACAAAGATAGTAAGAAATCATTAGAAAGTATCAAAATGTCACGCAAGCAAATAAATAAAAGTATAATTGTAATTCAATCGATAGAACTATCTAGAAATATTAATGTATGAACCAGCATTCTTTTGGCAAGAGTACTGCGTATGAAGACAAATAAACATATATTTCATGAATGCTTATGAAAAACACTAACTTACTTATAGGATATGACACTTTACTGTTTTCTTCCACTGTTGACAACTTATTATTAATTTCAACATGATCTTTCCGAACAGCATGTAGTAAATGTCCATATGGACTAAAAGATAAAGCCACGGGTGGCGCATTCTCTATCGGTTGAACACCATCTTCTACACTATGACGAATAAGTAAACCATCACGACCGACAGTATAAAAATTATTCGTTTCAGCAGGACACCAAGATATGCCTAAGAAAAGAAAAATAAACCAAAATTAGTATTAAGTCTAAAATGATTACTGTTATAATGAATTTGGAAATTTCAAATAAACACAATAATCACTAGATCGTTATTTATTTGAAATACGTGATTCCTAGGTAAAACAACGCAGGTTATATTTACCGAATGCATAAATAACTGCCAAAGAACACATTAAACGTTGAATCAGGCCACAATAAAAATAGTTCTTGATGACTTTACTTTAGTAACACCAAGTGAACTGTCAGAGAAATTGAATTACTTCGGGTCCCATGAAAGGCTTTGGATGAGTACAGTTAAGGTTTTAGAATGAAACAATTCTTCTCAATAATCTTTTATTATTTGAAGAAAAAAACCAACTTGTTGGCATACCTCTCTACAATAATGTTCTTGCACAGACATCATATTGTTAACTACCAACTACAAGAAAGATGCACCATATTCTACAGTGATTGAGAAACTAACAATTCATAGGTAAAATAGTACATTCATATTTTTCTTAATTATCTCTGTATCATTGTGGTACGCCTATGCACCAAGCTAACAATTTCCAAATTCGACTTCAGTGACTATGAACGAAACATTCACTAAACAACTTGAGTATTTATGATAAATAACTGGCGTCGGTATAGTCAAAGACTGGTAGATAAGATAATTTAAAATCTCAAGGGTATGAACTGAAATGAAGGACAAACAAAAATGAGTAACGCAACATGATTACTTAGTTCATCTACGAATCATTCAACACTCTAGGTTAGTTTTTTCTTCATTATAATATACATCTGTTATGATAATATTGAAGAATAATTATAGAAGCTGTAAAACAAGCAATAATGTTGTGGAATCGTAATTTCTGTAGATGTAACAAACTGGAAATCAAAAAAGCGAATTCAGATATTTGTAACTACTTATCCGAGATCATTGCATTAAACATACAAGGTGCTGGGTCAAATGAATAATACTATTATTTTAGATAGTATCCAGTGGTAACATCAAGAGTGTGCGTTTCATTTTAATTGAAACTCGTCAGTCGGAAGTACCTGAGACCCAATGTCGAGTTCAATACTGATACTCAGACCAAGAATCAAATAATGTAAACATTAAAATATTATCCATTAGGTTAATGAGATATGGTAGTCCCAAACTTATTCTATAAGCATAGTATTCATTATCAATCGCAATCATTTGGTATTCTCCCGCTGTTAGCATTCCAAGTTATATTTCACTACACTCTCTCTTTGTTGATGTAAAAGTTCTAAATAGAATAAAACAAAGGTCCTGGACTTCATTGTTAACTAGTATTCAATAGTATAATCGACTTTTAAATGCACACGACATCGAGGCATATGTTTGAAAGACTGATCAAATTCAATGCACTGATTAGTAAATATTATTTAGTTTTACAAATCCATATTAAAATTATTGAAAACTAATTTTCTCATAATCTCGATATTCGTTCTACTCGGTTCCAAAAAAAAAAGAAATTTATCAGAATATATGTCAGTCGATTGAATATTGAAAGATTCCTTGACGAAACCCTTTTGTAGTCATTCAATTTCCATGTGGAAAAAGTTTGTAACTACAACAACACGTTATCGAAGTAGGATAAGAGTAGGGTTCAAACCTTCGACCTACAGGCTAAAAATTAAATAGGCTTTAAACACTAAGCCAATATTTTAACTACATAAAAGTGGTTCTTATTTAAGTGTGCTACGATTTTGAAGTTAGTGTATACCGTTACAATTTTAAAAGGTTAACTCTGAACAATGATATAGTACAGTATTCAGTTTATTAACTCATGAAATAGTCTATAGATAATTCCTCATTAAAAATAAGTATAGGATTTTATCATTGATGTAAGAACGTAAATGATAAAGATATAAGTATGGGTCTTGTTGTATCCCGACGAGAATAATGACAGGTAACTGTTGAGACCTATTTATGGACTAATATTATACGTATATTCTTATTGTATAGCTATTAAGTGACTATAATACATGTATATTCATATTTCTTTTATTATAAGCTTCCATTTCACCCACTGACTATTATCATACGATTTACTATTTTTGAGATATTCCCAAGTTATTAGTAACACTCTCTCACAATCACAGCCACTTTCGGCTTGAACTTGTACAAATGCTATTTTCTATTTTAAGGTGTGATGTGGTCTGATTCGTTTGTATGTAAACGATGTCTGAAATATATATGAAATATGTGTCGCGGAGGCTGACATTGGCGTTCTGGAGTTAACAGGCATGGATAGGCGGAAAAAGCACCAATGGAGACTCTAGGCTGCCCGTACTCGTGTATGAGTCATTGGTTTGGTCGTATAAGTCAGCATATCTAAATTGACAAACGAATTTCACGACATTGTATAGCTAAGATCATAACAGGTCTGCCTAGTTACTTTTTTCTGAATAGTGATCCTATAAAAAACTTCATATTGAATGCCTACGATATATGATAGGATAAAAAAAACATATGAATATTCATTACAAACTTACATGTTACAAGATCTTTATGCTCTTCAAATGATACATATGGAATGAATGGTCGTTGTAAATCCCAAATATGTACACTAAGATCGATTGTAAGGTTACAACTAGAGACAAGTTGAGTCATCTGGTCAATGAGAAAATTTTATGAGAAAAAAAACAGTTTTCAAAGTAACTACCAATTGAAAACACATTCAGTAGACTTTAAGTCGAGTTAAACAAAAATAAAACTGAGTGTAACAATTGATATCTTTAGAAGTGATAACGACATTCGTTTGGTTTGATAAAATCTAATTCATCTGCTGATATAAATCTAGTCGTGAAGCTGGAGAGAACTTCAAGAACCCGTTACCCAATACTGGAATGTATTCAACTGTTTAAACGCATGAACACCTGTTTTGACCAACTTATTAATACAGAATTAGTTCTTAATTGAAAATTATACAGACTGAAAAGTTAACGGAAATCAAAGAAGGATGGAAGTTATCTACAACTATCTCCTGTAGATATATCCAAACATGGTGTAGCCAGATATTCTGGATCAAAACGCAAATACAATAAAAGTCAGAGCTTCATATGAGGTGTAATTAAAATTATACTCTAATATACAGTGCTCATCCGCTAAATGAACAGAAAAGTGATTGACAGTCCTAGGTAAGAAAAATTTATTAAGCATGAAAACGCTGTCGACTGCCTAACGTGTACATTCATTATTTACGGTAATTGAATTAAAAATCTTAAGACTTCGAGGTGAAAACTTTAATAGTGTTCTATTTATTTGCCATGTAGTATATGATTTCCCTCTAGAATTTTGAAAATCTAACCCCCAAGTCATATCATCAGTTGATATATATCACCGGATTTCTATTAACTACATAACAAACCCATAAACATATATATTTAAAATTACACATTAATGAATTAAAATACATACGTACAAAAGTAGGTCTCCAACGAACACGATTTACATTGGAAGTACGTACAGTATATAAAACACTAGGACAAGTAACAGAACTTTGCCCGCTGGGACTATTTAAATTCCACACTTTGATTAAATGATCTCTGGCACCAGCAGTTGCTAACCAGTTACAACTGTTTTTTTAAATTAAAAAAGAAAATGAAATTATTCGACATTGTACAGGCTAAATATTTATGTTCTAATGAGAAACCATGACCAGTGGAGCTAACACGATGGAAGATGGTCACGCAATGTAATGGATTGATTACAGCTAGTCATTTACACTGTTGGACGGCGGCTCATTGGCTTAGAAATCAAGTAATTGCATACGAAACAGATTATAATGCATCAGATTCCCGTGTGTGGGATTGTAGACTGCTGAAGAGTCTCATGCCGGGACGAAACGGCCATGTACAGCTTTCTTTCATACCACAACACCATGTTATACACTGACTACCTCTCCGCTTTTCCCAACCAGTCCCAGAGTCGGCAAATAATGCACGACGTGGAATTCTCTGGAACGACATTCGTAGGACATGTCCAAGCCACCGAAGTCGAGGTTTCAAGATAGAAACACTAATCTAAATATCGTCGCCGTGCCCGAATACACAGTGCCGAACCTCGGCATTACTAACATGGTGTTGTCACTGGATGTTAGCAATCATTCGGAGACAACGATGATTAAAACACGGAGAGTCGTCTAACATTCTCTACTCGGAGAGGCAAGGTTTCACAAGCATAAAGCAAAACTGCCCTCACTGACATGTTGTAGATCCGAACTTTGACAGCCAGATTAACGTCACGAAGGTGCCAAAGATGGTACAGATTGGGATAAACCGCTCTAGCTTTCACTACACGTGAATTGACTTCGTCACTCACACAGCCACTTCTATCTGCTCACTACCCGAGGTGAGTGCAGAATCAGGGTCCTGCCAGTCTTGCAAAAGTACTTTGCACTTCGAAGGTGCAAAACACATACCATATCTACGGACACTAATTGCCAACTGATTAGGTACGGATTACATGGCTTGGGTATTATAGCACAGTAAGACAATATCATCCACATACTCAAGGTCGAAAAGCTTTTCTCTAGATCCACATCATCATTACCTGCATCCATCAGAGCTGTTTCCAGAACTTCATCGATAGCAAAGTCATTTAACAATTTTTAGTCTCTCTCGTCATTATTGATACTATTGATCTTGTTAATTTCATATCGCGGTGTTGTGTCGTGGTAACCATGGTTGATAAATATTTGTTTCACGACGTTTGTTGATTATGAATGACTAATACAGAATTTATTAGCAATGGCAATAACCATAAACTGGAAAACTATGCTTGCTCACGTTGTTACGTTCCAATTTGGATGCCAGTCCAGTGTGGCTATTGAACATGAATGACCTTGGAAAGCACGAAAGGGACGTGAACCTTTTCTCGTATCCCATATACTGATAACACCATTTTCCTGAGCAGCTGCAATCAAGAATCCTTGCTTAGGACAAAATGATACATCTCTCACGGGAGATGGTGAAGCAGTTCTTTGGAAGAATATTTGACATGAAGAAATTGGATTCGGGTCACGAATATCCTTTAAAAAATAGAATAATAACTAAACAGTTGAACTTATTACTCATTTACTTGTGGTCATAGTTCATATTTAAGAACATACTTAGCGACTGATATTTATTTTAGAAAAAAAGAGAACATAGACAACTAATGATTGGTACAGATTGAATTCACTAAAGCAGTATCATTTAAATATGATACTTTCTCCTAAAACCGTGGATTAATCAGCCTATCAATGGGCTATATAACGTACTAAGCAACTATCTATATTCAATACAGAAATTTTCGGTGTTTGAGAGGCGGACCAAAGATTCTAGGATCAAACTCAGCTTTATCCAGCTTGGTCAGAGCAGAAAAGAAATATTGAATCTGGCCTCTATACAATGAATGTGATCTGTATCCAAGAAAACAAACTGGTACATGGGATCCTGAATTATTAAACTATTGATTAATGTCGAATAGAAATTCTATTTAGAAACACTCATTTACTAGGCACACATTGGTGTACCTGGCTTTAAGTTACACTGGTAAGAGTTAGTGAGAATACGCAGATGCCCAAACCATGATAGGTCAAGTCGAGTTGGAACCCAAAATTAGTGGTTGGAAGTCGAACCAAAGTGGAATTATTACACGTCTTAAAATTTTTTCCTCATCACGAAGATTACCACGATTCAAGCTGAAACTAAAATTGTATTACCAAACGATGGTATACTAACTTGACTAGAAAACCCTACTGTTCGAATTTCAATATATTTATCACGAATAGACATTTTTCATGGGAATAATCTACAGACAATTGTAATGCATGATTTATCCTTTGCCGATGATGCACTGATTGTTAATTTAACTCATTAAAAACTATGTACATGTTTGACTGTAAGTTCCACGAGATAACACGGCTAACCAAACAGCAAGTTATATTTCATGTGAATTAAACTATTAACTTGAAAAATAAGCTCTTTTTGCAGAAAAACAAACAAACAAGATGAAATGACGCAAAACCTACATCCCATTAACATTGTAATATAATTTAGAATGATTTTGTGGATTGGTTGAGGTTAGACATCAATGCCGTTGGATGCCGAGGCAGTGGTCTAGTGGGTTAAGCGTTCACGCGCACCCTGAGTTCGAATCCCGCGAGCGGGATCGTGGATGCGCACTGTTGAGAATTCCCACAATAGGACGAAACGGCCGTACAGTGCTTCCAAGTTTTCAATGGTGGTCTAACATCAATCGGTTCAAGATCTCAACCGATAACTTAGTAATCTCCACCACCTTATACTGATAATTTAGAATGATTGTTTTTAAACAAACATTCAAAGTAAACAAGCACTTAATCAAAATAAATCATCGCTTAAAAATTGAAAGATTGTAATAAGTGTAAAAAGGACATTAACATATGATTAATGTCTTATCAACTGACTTAAAAAAAAACAATACTCTAATTGTAACTCCAAATATTAAAAAATGTAGTTATATCATGTAAAATTCATTGCCCAGTGATGTGATCAGTTAACATCGAACAGAAGAGTCGATTACAGGTGTAACCATTTTATAAGTATATGGATATATCAATTTCAATCAAGTAATTAATAATTATAATAATTCATTATGATTATACTGCTTGTATAAAGATAAAATTATTCGACGTACTATTGAAAATTCAACTGATCTACTGTCACGGTATTTCGTTATTAGATAATACAAGAACGTATAGGGATAGTTGGCCTCCCACATATATTAGATTGATGGATGAATCTGGAGAATCTTTATCTTGTTATGACTCAAAATGAGCAATCACTGACATGAATACTAGTAAGTCAATAACAGGAATTTAATAACCCTGAATAATAGTTGTTTAATAAAACAAACTTACAAACAGCTTTAATTTACCATCTTGTGATGCTGTTACTAGTTCCGTGCTAATGGTTGGGTTGAAATGAATGCAATGTATTGATCGGTTATGTCCAGAAAAACAGGCAGCTTTAATAAAATAAAATACCGAAGAGCGTAATTATATATATATATATATATATATATATATATATATATATATATATGCTTGCTAGTAATAGAAATTTGTAAACTTTAAATTACAGAAGTGAATTTATCAGAACACTGAGTGGTTGAATTGAGGAACTACTTTGAAGTAGTTGAACAAATAACCAAGTATGTATAATCTGGACGACCATATTAGAATTACAACGGCTCCCAAGTCCGGGTAAGGGGAGGAGGGTTGGGTATGGGGTTAGCAACTCCACCCCGTAGACAACCTTGCTAGAGAAAACACTAAACAGAATAAACAATTTAAACCATTTAAACTCTGCCATGGAAGTTGAAATGTCTTCATTTAGAATAATTATGACACCTCGTGGTGAAAGCCGAGTCGCGAGGCCGACGTTTCTTCTAACAACCAGAGCAAAAATTAACATATCTACATCGAATGTCAGGACAATGTATGAGACTGGAAAGACTAATCAAGTAGCAACGGAAATGAGGAGATACCACTTGGCTTTGCTTGGAATAAGTGAAACCCATTGGACCCAGGCTGGAAGAGAATGTTAGATTAGAGAGAGATGCTGCTGTATTCTGGTCGCGAAGATCAAAATCCCTTTCATTCACAAAAAGTTGGTCTGATGCTATTCAAAGAAGCACGTGATGCATTTATAGGATGGGAATCTCATGGATCCAGAATCATCAAAGCATCCGTCAAAACAAAGAAAGAGAGGATCACAATGAATGTAATCCAATGCTATGCACCCACCAATTATAGCAACGACGACAACAAACATCAGTTATATGAGAGGCTACAATCAACCACAGAGAAGTGCACAAGAAAGGATCTCACCATACTGATGGGAGACCTAAACGTCAAAGTTGGAATGCACAACACCCGATAAAAAGATAGCATGGGACAACATGGAATGGGAGAGAGAACCGAAAATGAGGAGAAATTTGCAAACCTATGTGCATCCAACAAATTGGTTATAAGCGCGACAATATTCCCACACATGCACACACACAAAGCTACATGAGTCTCTCCGGATCACAACACGAAAAACCAGATAGATCATATTTGGATCAGTGAAAAATTCACAACGTCAAGGCAAGATTTGAGAACCAGGAGAGAAGCTACCATACATTCAGATTATTTCTTAATTTGAACACATAAATATTGGTACAAGAGGGCACCAAATACATATGCGCCACACAAAACAATGAGAATTTGAAGAGAAGGAAAAAAAGTAAGGAGCGTAAAAAACAATAACGTACAGATTAGTGTAAGGTAGTGTAATAATAATAATGAGGGAAACGAAAAGGTACAATCAGAAGAAATCTTTCAGTTAAGGAAGAAGCAACCACTTTTTATGGAGAAAGTAAAAGGTTACAACAGGATCGCCACTGGCTTCTATTCTGAGCAATATCTGATAACGTCTCTAGCCACTGTGTCGCACCATCTCTAGGACCCCGACCAGGGAGTCGTGAAGGGCCAACAAAAGCCAGCCCTTTGCAGTTTTCTTTCGTACCACGACACCATGTCATATACTGACCATCTCTCCGCTTCTTCCAACCAGTCCCAGCGTCGGCAAATAATGCACGACGTGGAATTCTCTGGGACGACATTCGTAGGACATGTCCAAGCCACCGAAGTCGGTGTTTCAAGATGATGACACCAATTGCATTATCGTCTCTGTGCCCGAACACACGATGCCGAACCTCTGCATTACTAACATGGTGTCGCCACTGGATGTCAGCAATCCTTAGGAGACAGCGATAATCGAACACAAAGAGTCGTCTAACATCCTCAACTCGGAGAGGCCAGGTTTCACAAGCATAGAGCAAAACTGCTCTCACCGACGCGGAGGTGTTCGTATAGGGCCTTTAGGATGCTAATAAACTTCTCAGGCACACCCTCCTTCAATAGACAGTCCCAGAGAATAGTCCTGTCCAACGAATCGAAGGCAGGCCTGATGTCAAGAAACACTACGATTGTTGGCCTTTGATAAGTATGACGGTGTTCTAACATTTGGCGGAGGGTGAAGATATGATCGATACATCCTCAACCGGAACGAAAACCAGCCTGCTCCTCGCGAGTCAATCTTTCTCGGGTCTTGAACAACCTACGAAGTACAACGGAAGCTGTAAAATTTGATCGATAAACAAACTCACCAATAGTGAAGTGAAACGTTCACCATCATACTAACTTTTCTTGACCTTGTATGACTATGTCTTATTTATTCACCAATCACAATTCGATGTTTATTATAAAACAATATTTGCTCTGTTGACTCATTTTTCCTACTCTCTAGCTACTGTTCGGTACGTTATTTATGTCTCTGTTTTTCCCTGTGTTTATAGACTGTACTGTTTGTTTTGTACACTAACGGTGTTAGTTTACGTTTTAGAAACAGACAAAGTTTATCGAGCCAAATTGCTTACTTGTTCTGACTTTGGCTGAACCAAGACTCTGTGTTCGACAGTCTAGGGATTTGTTGTGAACAGGGAAATAAGAAGCCCAGACAAACTACGAAAGCTATTTCTTGGGACGTTATTTCATTTTATTCAAACCTTGTAAAACACTTATATCTATTTTTGTCCCTATTTTATTCTACCGAACATGAGCTTTCGTTCGATGTATCATTCATTGCCATACTGTTATGTTTGAAACTTCACGAGTTCACTTAAACTGCGAACGAGAACAATACTCAGTGACCAAAGACCAGTGATCTAACTATTGACGCGTCCCAGCCCCGCTATCTAGAAGAAGAAGTCCAGGCTTGGTATGGAAAATATATTCTGCAACAGCCAGAAGCGAGCAAGCAAGCAAGCAGCACAATTTAAAACATATATATATATATAATCGATATTGTCATAGAAATTTTTTTAAACACTACTCAATGAGTTCATAAATTGACCTGTTTGCACATTGAATCGATAGATTCATCAACTGACTGCTATTCAAACATTTAATCGATCAGTTCATCAATTGACCCCAATACAAATATTTAAACATTTAATCAATAAGTTGATCGATGCGATAAAATTTAAAAGTATGAGTTTGGGGATCTATCGTCCCCAACACTACTCCCCTTTTTAATAGCGGGCTTTCCTGGGGTCAACCTGCATCTTGACTGTAGCTCGCCGTTCTCTTATGGGCCACCGTCTGGGACGTGTTTCAGCTTGTTGTTGAGGTTTTTCTTGTGGTGGGGTTGCCGGTAAGTTGAAAGTATCAAGCAAGATGTCGAGGGGGAGATTTACTCCTGTTGATGGGTGGTCTGGGGCTATCCGCTTACGTAGTTGATTTCGGTGTCTAGTCCACGTGTCTCTTCCCACCTTTACCTTGTACATAACTTCGCCTAGTCTTCCAACCACACGTGCTTCGATCCAAGGACCATGATTTGCTCTGTAGTCTCGAGCGAACACAGGGCATCCAACCTCGTACGCTGGAAGCTTCTGAGATTTGATCTGAGATGGTGGTGATGTGGTTCTTGGGCACATGAGACTGTGGACCGTCCTCAATTTCCTTCCCGTCAGGATCTCTGCCGGGGACTTCTGCTGTGGTAGCATATCACTAGGTGTTGTTCGGTAAACAAACAAGAAATTCTGCAGTGTTTCTACTGGCGTCCCCTCCCCTTTCGACTTCATTAGAGCTCTCTTGAATGTATCCACAAATCTTTCTGCCTGGCCATTTGACTGTGGGTGGTAAGGTGGAGAGCGGAAATGCTTGATCGATAGGCGTTTGCAAAATTCTTGAAATTGACTTGAGGTGAATTGCGAACCATTATCGGAAACGATTATATCCGGTAGTCCGTTGCGAGAGAACATCTCTGTCAAAAGTTGCATCATTTAGGTTGTCGTTGGTGGCGTGACAGGAACGATTTCTGGCCATTTCGAAAAGGCGTCAACAACGACTAGATAGGTGATTCCATTAATTGGGCCTGCGAAATCGACATGTATCCTGGACCAGGGATACTCAGGCTGTGGCCATGGGACCGGTAGTAGTTTCGCGTTACATTTGGCTGCTTGCTGACACTGTGCGTGGTCCTCTGTCAATAGGGAGGTAATAACTGCATCTTTGCCGGCCGTATGGTGTTCGCTGGTTGACAACTCCGTCATTAGGTTCCTCGTATATACTTCCAAGTCATATGGTTGTTGTCGTAGTTGGGGTTGTGATACCCGGTTGCATATGGTATTCAACGGGACATCAGCTAAATTTAAGTGATCGAACCAATCTAAACCGAGCAAATTTAGATCAGCTGACGTTATGTAGCATACCCCGACAAATGTAAAATTACGGAAAGTAACTGTACATTCGATTTGTCCTAGAAGGTTAAGGTAATTACCACACGCAGTACGAGGCTTTTGCGTTGTACGCTGCAAGTTTGGGCTGCCCATTTTGGTCCAAGTCTTACGAGAGAGGATATTGACATCTGATGCCGTATCTATTTGCAATCTAGATGAATGCCCATTAATATTAAGGGTAATAAATTTCCTCTCAACTGGGGTTGAGTTCTCACAGCTTGCTATTAAACTCAACGAATTCGTGTTGGATCTAGGCGTAGGTTTTCTGGTACCTCTGGAGCTGCTCGGCTTCTTTTTTCGACAAAAACCATCTTTATGACCCACCGCATTACATTTCCTGCACCGATGTTGCTTATATGGACAGTATCGAACAAAATGCCATGCACCGCAGTGCCAGCATGGAGCAGGAGGATTTGTTTTTGTCTGTCGACCCGAACTAGATGTCGCTGGGGCAGATTTATGCGAGTTGCATGGTTGTTGGACTACATGAATTTCGGTACGATCTGAACCATCACGCTGGACCATTGTAGTATCACGCTGTAGATTGATTAGACGTTGATATTCGTTTGCAATATCATTAAGAGTTAGTTTTGGGTCTTGGTCCAATCGACTTAGCAAACGTCTTCTAATATCACCGAACTTCTGCGATTGAAGGCTGCAGATGAGAATGAGTGCTTTAA